ATAAACCTTTTGACCATTCACCAATTCGGCTTCGTGAAGCTTTCATAGGCCAGGCGGCGGGCGGCTGGGATTATTGGGTCATTAATCACAACCCACATCGCTCGCCTCCGCCTTGCTCGCTTGCTTTACTTCTAGAGCTGTTACCTATCCCGGTTACCCTATCGACGTAGCCGTATGTTATTGAATTACCATAATTACAAATATTTCATTAAAGTGTCCCAGAGTTAATTTTCATACAAATGATATGTTTTCCAAGCCGTTGTGTAAAACAAATGACTCCAAAATCCGTTTGACCATAAGTAAGGGCACGCAGGGCACGACGTCAAATGTTCCATCGTTTGGAGAACAGCATTTGCAATCCAAGCTGGAACCGTCTGAGAATCCCCACCTGAATAGGTTCTCTTTACTTCGGCAGACTTTCGTCCGAAGTCTATTTAATGACTTCCAAATCAGCCATGGAAACTCATGTCTAGGCGGTGGTTTCTCGGACAATGGGACAAAGGAGCTAGGGACATCGACACTTTCTTGCCACAACTTGTTGTCGATAACGCCCGAAACTAGACACGGCACATCACTATACTATCGACCGCAAAGCTCAATTTACACGGGCAGCAAGATCGTGTGTACTCTGTCCAACCCAACTCCCACCTCCCAAGAAACTGGTGTGGGTTACTTTACAACACTAACGATTCGCCAACACCCCGGCTCGTCTGAGACACTTCTTAGCAAGCCAATATTAGGAAAATAACGCTGTCGCAGTTAACATAGCTATATAGTAAGGTCTAGAACGAAGGAAGGACTAGTTTTTGTATTTATCTTGTCTCGTTTTAAAACAATGACCATCAAGAAATGCTGCATTATCGATATTTAATATAACTATTGTTTTATTATATAATATACCTTGCTTTTCTTGTCCTGTAATTGAATTTAGTGCCTGGAAATAGCAATCAAGGTCATTGATATTTGTGCGATATATATTATATATAATTATTTGCTTTTAATTTAACGGAACAAAGAAATCCTGTGCGATAGATGTTTGAAGTTAAATCTCCCTTTGTAACGCTTGAAATGTGATTCGGCGTGCGCCTTTTTGGAGAGGCTTTAACGATTGAGAGTTAAAAGTGCGCATTTTCCCCTTTGATAAATTGATAGATGACGTATAGAGTTAACTTGCAAAAATGAGGACTTTGCGTTAATAAAAGATATTATTACATTAACGGCTGCAGTCAGAAATTTCAAATAACGTTTCTGAACTTCGCGAATGAACTTTAGTGCTATCGATTCTGAATGCGTAAGTAAAAGTATTCTGAAAAAGTAAACAAAAATCTAATTGCGTCTTGTGTAATTAAAGTCTTGCCAGTTGTGCTGAATCCAAAACTAGCCCCTTGGCTTAGATGACCCTTCGCGGCTTGTGTTACGGCAAAATATGGTCTACCCAACAACCTTAGAACACATAATCAAACGCAATAGACTTTGAAAGGGAAGCGACGAAGCCGAGAAAAAAGCACGTGTTCTATTTGGGATTACACGCGCCCCATAAACAAAAGGTTAACATTATAACTTTAACTATAGCTAGACATTGTAATAGAATTCACTGGTTCCATTGTCATATTTAGTTAAACAATATGTAGAGTTAATTAGAATTTCTCTCTAATAAATAGTTTAAAGCATAACTTATTGTATTTACTGGTGCATATAACTCATAGTTTTGAAGATAAAACTGATTTTCGTTTAATTAGTACAGAAAGTCTATAATATGATTAATCCTTTCTTTACAACGTCCGCAAACTAACGAAAACTCATTCATTTACGGTAAAAAATTCGAATAACTTAACAGACTTAATTTGCTAGACTCTGCAATCTACTGATCTTTAAAGTGTTTTTGCAACCAAATTGACTATTTGGTTGATAATTATCTATATCTATGTGTTTTACATAGATAGTACGTTTTTTTTTGTACGAATAATTAACTTAAAAAGGATTACTTAAAGAAATATCCATGTCATTGAGTTTTATTCAAACACATGGTCTCGTAATGCCTTAAAGTTATGGTATTCTACTAAAAACACGTTGTACATTTAGTTAGATTCGCAGTGTTCGAATATGATGGGCTGAGATATTTGTTATAGCGGCAACAGAATTACACCATATTATGTGAAAAATGTAACTGTCTAACTATAACGGTTCATGAGATACAGCCTGGTGTACGGGAAGACAAACAGACAGCGGAGTCCTAGTAATAGGGTAAGTTTTACCTTTGGGTACGGAACCCTACAAATGGGCTAAATACAAGAAATTGTTAGGTGACGGCATTTAGTCTCTACCTAAGGTCGATGACACCCAACTATATTTCGAAAGACACTAAACGCTGAAACCCCCGTAGTGTAGATTTAAGCCGTCGTGCACCGTCCAGTGTCACTATTCAGTCGCCGCTTTAAGCCGGGCAACGAGCCCGGGCGCGGGAACTGAGCGTATGCGCCGACATGTGCGGGCACAATGGCCGCATTCTCATGGACTCAGCCGCGGTAAGCTGATTGCGTGACGTCATTACAGAAACGGCCGCCTACACACTGGCGCGCTACAAAACCATCTCGGTTTCGAAGATTATCTGCGTTGAACGAGTTCGCATTCGGTTCAACACTACGAATACTCCGGCACAGAACTGCTCCTTTTTTTGTTGCATTGCGTTGCACGAATGGGCAGGTACAACGGCCGCTCAGAAAACCCGCATTAAGTGGTTGTATTATACTTTCGCGTTTCGTCTGATGACGAAGGTAATCGGCCCACTTATTTTAAAAGTTGACAACGCATTTGCAGGCCCTCAGGTGCCCCTTGACTACTTTCACAAAAAAGCTTCGCAACCTTTAGACGGTACGAATGGAATTATGGATAGTTTATCTCACACAGTTGGTTATCGACTATAAATCGTTATTTTGTCAACTCCTGATTGGTAAGAATAACCCGCTTTATACAAAGAATGTCTTGACTTTAACTATAATTATATAGGTATGTTTGATTATTGTGTTACTCTATATCTAAGATTAAAATTAAAGTATCGAAGACGCAGATTTCCCGAATTAATTCATCGTGTTGCTTATTCCATTCCTCCTAATCGAAGATTAAATTGAGAACAAATCCCTATGGTGATATTAAGGAATTTGCAGGGAATTATGATGACAATAGTGGTACTTATCTCTTATCCTTTAAACGAGCAATTCTTGTATATATATATATATAATATATATATATATATATATATATATATATATAATCGGAATCTCGGAAACAGCTCCAGCGATTTTCATGAAATTTAGTATGTGCGTAGATTCGGGGGCGAAAAATCGATCTGTCTAGGTTTCATTTTTAGAAAATGTCCTTCTATCCCTGTTTTCAGGGAATGAAAAATATCATTCGAATGACGGTAATTTTGCCGCAAAAAAAATGTTATAATAGCTCGGTCGGCCCCAAAACAGACGGCCCTGGTTCGTATCACGATCATTTACACACTTATTTTTTTCCCTTTTTTTTAATTCTTTCTTTTGTGAAAAACACCAGTTCATATTTTCTTATTATTACGTCGGTAAGATTGAAAAATATTATGTAATTTGTATCTAAATGTAATTTCCAAAATACATGATTTACCAAAAAAAACGTCTCCAGGTACTATTAATTAAGCCCGCTGGTTTTCATAAATGACAACATTGTGAACGCCGCCTATTTCATAATTCAGCCTATGGGTGAATGCGATCTCGGCTTACGGGGATCTGCATCGAATAATCGGTTCACGACTCCATAATCCAACGTGTAAAACATTGGCGAAGTTACTTTGCACCATTTTTTTAAAATTCGAATAGCCAGAATTTATTAATATACGTTATTTTCGAAAACCAGTTGCACCTATCAGCATAAATATTTTCAGTACAGATATAAATTTCAGGAATAGATTTAACTACGACTTAAATTTAGCGCGTGCTTTGTTTTTGTAAAATTATTATATAAGTAACAAACTATTTTATCACTTATTATTCAAGAAAACTATAAAACTGTACTTGTATTTTTGTAGCTAAAATTAATTATTTGTTTATTAAGGAATAGAACCCTTTTCATTTCGAAGTAAATGAGTTTGTCAAAAATTCAAAGTTTAGAAAGATGTGCAGATTACTTGCTCCTATTTAAACCACACTTACTTTAAAATTTGTAGAAAAAGTACGAAAAGATTGTCGCCGCTTTGGGAATCGAGCCCGTCTTCGGCATTCGCGCCCTGACGCTCTAACCACTGAGCTAAACGGCTGATTGCCACACCGACGAAAATCTTAACGTGTTTTATCTACATTGTTTTATTTACAATCTTTTCGTATTTTTTCTACAAATTTTAATGTACAATCTAAGTGCGGAGATTAGCACTATAAAAAATTTAAATTTCCACGCTTACTTCTTTATAAAAACGATTCACAACTTCCCCATAGTAACTGATCAATTGTGAACACTTAAATTAATAATATGTGGAGACATAATATAAGTCAATGTTACCGTCATATGTTAGTATGGCGTCATGCATATTATGATGAATATAGATTTCGTTTTTAGTCTTTTACAATCTTTTATTTAGCTTTTACTATTCAAGCGGGGAGCTCGAACCTTAAAGGTTTGCAATAGGCCTGAAATGTTGTTGACATCCATTGGCCTCTTTTTAATAATATGTACCTATATGATGTTGGTGGTCCAACATCAGGAGAACCGGTAAATTGTTTATCATGATTTTAATTTTTTTCTTCTGTGAAGACCCTACAGTCGAGCATGTATATACGCAATACAAGTACTGTTCCTTAAGCCGTTCCCTGTTACAGTCTATTTAAATAACCGGTTGAGAACAAGGTAGATATGCCACTGCTTGCGCTGCATTGGAAGAGGTGCTGAGTTTGTATATTTAAGGAAGTTTCTGCCATACAGCTGTCCAACATGAACGTGGTCCGCGGAAGCCAAAGCTCCATTCGGGGGCCATGAGCACACTGCCGCCACCACCACTAGCCCACGCCCACAAACCCCACCCGCTCAAGCTGTCACCACCATCGCCGTACGCCCCGCTACCACAGCCCTTCGGCTTCCAAGTAAGATTAAGCACATGTTATGTTGAACAACTTTTGAGGTCTTATCGAATTTCACCAAATAGAATCGAAGAATCGAATTATTTTCAAACAATTAGTTCAACCGACACACGAACTCCTTTTACGTGTGAATTTTTAAGTGCACAGTAATTAAAGCGTAATACCCGGTTCGAGAGCACTACTAAATACATACTACAAGAACATACAAACTTGAAATCGTGGCTTATGTCTCTTCAGGCTAAGAAGAATATATCTGTGGATCACACAAATCGGTTCACAGCGGGAACGAAACTAGCGCGCAATAACAACTTTTGAATTGATATTACTGTTCGAACCATTGAACCATTCGTGACTCATCACTTTCATAATGTGATCCCTTGATAAATAAAATAAAATTACCGTCAATATTTGGTGCTATCGCTATTGCAATATATCATAAAAATGACTTTCAATTATGTCACTAAACTGTAAAAAGCTGACAAGATTTAACCACAACGTGCTGTATACATAGGTAGTTTTAAAGTCAATAGGCACTAATTGTGACTATGAAGTGCTCCTTAAATGCGAATATCTATTATAGAACATAACAAAACTATTAAATAGTATAATGTTGCAAGAATTATTTACTTTATCACCGGCAGCCTGCCTGACGTCAACCCTTCTTGGAAGACACATAGATCCGGAACAGTTATCTGTGGGTCACACAAATACTTATGCTCGGCGGTAAAGGAAAACGTCGTGAGGAAACCTACATATTTTGGAAATAATACAAAAAAAATTATTTCAAACATATGTAAAGGCTGCAGTATGCTCTACGCTAAGGACTATGCTCTAATACCCTCTGTACAGAGGAGGCCTTTGCCAAATATTGTTCCGTGCTGGGAATCGAACCCACCACCGAAACCAATAGTTTAGCAACGGCGCCACCGAGTCTTCATTTATAATTATACATTAGATTTATTAAACTAATGTCCTATAACATTCTATCTATATCTTTTGGAAAACGCGGCCGACATAAACACTATCTTCATCCTGCAAAAGATAGAGCTATTCGAGCAGTTTATAACCTGGGTCCCAAAGAATGACTAAGAAATTTGTTAAAAGAAATAAAATATTGATTGTTGTTTCTCAGTACATACTTGCAAATGTTATGTATGTCCATAAAAATAACAATGAATATTGGCATAAGTCTAGGAACTGACAAATGAATTCCACCCTCATCTAAATTGAGTAGAATAAGTAAACCTTTTATGGGATAGTATGTACGTTTTTACTACAAAATCCCAGAAAACGTTCAAAATGAATCAGTTCCAAAATTTTAAAAACTTGGAAAGGAACGTAGTATTTTACTAGCGTTCACTGGTTAGTGGCTATTTATAGTATTAGTGATTATTTAAATGATAACACACTCTGAAAATGATTTGATCGCTCCAGGCTCTTTCAAGTGGGATTGAATATATCGTAAAAAAAAATTGTCTCGCTGAGTTACTTTGGTGGGTCCTCCTCAGGTCAGTGGCTTTTTCTCGAACAGGTAGTAGTGTTTTTTGATAATCAATGAATAAGTGTAATTTTTCTTTATTCAATAAAGATATTTGAATTTGAATTTGAAACACCATCGTGAGAATCAAAATTTTGTTAATGGGAGAGATAGCAGCTATGTCAAAACACCAGAATTATCAAATATTAACAAATAACATAACATAGTAACAAATATTAAAGGCGCATAGGAGTCCTTTAAAATAATTAACAATCTGGTACCTCACTGTTAAAATAGTGTGCGTTTTATTAGTCACCAGCGACCCGCTCCGACTTCGCACGGCTGCATTATATTATACATATAAACCTTCCTCTTCAATCACTCTATTTAGTAAAATAATCCGCATCTAGATCCGTTGCGCAGTTTTAAAGATCTAAGCATACTTAGGAACAGACAGACAGCGAGACGACTTTGTTTTACACTATGTAGGGATAACCTTTAACTTTGACGGTTTCAATCTTGACCATAGTTCAGTTTGGGCGGTATGAACGAAGCTGGCCCCCTGAGTGCGACATCCTCAGCCGGCTCCAGCGGCGCGGGCGCCGGGGCTGTCAGTCCGCTGCCGCTCATCGGCGAGCCTTTCCTGGCGCCTCCGCCCCCCGGTCTACTCCACATGCTCATGTCTTCGGACAAGTGTCAAGTGAGACTTCGGAAATTTATCATTGTTTTTTGAATATCCTAATCTACCAGCGTTGGCATACAATCATAGTCGAGTATTCAATTCTACAGAAATGGTTGCATGAACAACGTTTTTGTGGAGAGTCAAACGAACACATGGCTCTTATAATGTAAAATAAGCTCGCTATTAGACATTAGAGACATCGTAGGAGTTATTAATGCGTTGCCGGACTTTCAATACATAATTTATTTTATGATCGATGGCATAGAGTATTGTATCTTCAATCGTACAAGTTTCAGGAACTAGCTGAATACGTTATCCTAGACAGTGGCGAATTTACCCTAAGGCCCAATAGGCCCGGGCCTTGGACGGCCACATACTAGGGGCGGCCAATCGTGACGAATAATTCACTGATGATAACAAGATATGTGATGGGCGCTGAGAAAGGGGCGGCTGGAACTTACTACATAGACTGAGGCCGTACTTACTACCGCTAACTTACTACATAGGCTGCCAAGACTACAAATCCGCCACTGATGAATGAATGAATGAATGAAATATACTTTATTGTACACAAACAACGGACATTGCATAATCAACAAAAAATAACACAAAAATGTACAATAGGCGACCTTATCGCTAAAAAGTGATTTCTTCCAGGCAACCTAGTACTGACCCTAGAAACTATTCGGATTTCCTCCCTACTTGTACAATTGAAGACATTTACGAGAATAACACACGTTGCGAAGTTTGCTCTGAATAGTAACATCTGCAAACACTATGTGAGTTTCAATAAAACGCTCTTAAAACCTAAATATAAAAACCTACATAAATGTAAGCACTTTTGTCCGTGCGACAAGTCTAAATAATAGATACTCTTTTAATATAGCGGTAGTAATGAACTAATAATAACGTCCAATAAAAATTTTAATTTGTCTCGCAGGAATTGATGTGGAGCGCGAAGCAGTTGCAACTCCAAGGAGATCCAACGTTGCTACGTCCTCCGCCAAATGCTTTCGGAGCACCACTTGCTCCAACATGGGAACTGTTACAGGTAAATAAACATCGATGTATATGTTGCCTAATAGTTTAATTTTTGTTGTGCTTTTCACCCTTGGGCGAGAATTAAACCCGTAACCGAGTCTGGAGCTATTGACTTAGCCACTACGCCCACGGGTCTACTAGTCTTTAAATATGAGCTTCGCAGTGTCTGCGATTATTCTATTATATATTCTGTCTATATTATCCTATATTATATGAAACCTGTATTATCGATGTACATAATATATTTCTTTATAAACATCTTCAAATTTGTAATATATAATGTAAATATATGAACTGTAACGATTTAATTAATATCTTAAGTTAATCAGTATGAAGTGATACTACTGAAACTCATTGAAAAACCAATGCTATGTAACTCATCACAATGGGTGTGTACATCGATAGGTGGCTTTTTAGCTTGAAGGGCGGCGCGGACTCGCGATTGGGCGGTTAGAGGGTGACTTTTCGCCTTCACTTGACTTACCCCGCCCCCCGGATCGCGATTTGAACTGTCACGGCACATAACACGCCTACAAGTAACTAAACACGCTCCTTAGACAATGAATAATTATTTCCCTATTTTTTTCAACTGATTCCAGCTTCACTTACATATGTCTTGAAAATTGTAACAACAGAAAATAATGGATCTATGAATATAGTCAATATAAAGTGTTGGAGTCAGCATTTTCACGATAATTTCGAATTATGGATATAATTTAATTATTATCATTTATTCTTAAATTATTTCCATAGTTCTGTTTCTTGTTATACTACTCGTACATTTATTTACTTTCAATAGTTATTAATCGTACGTCCACATTTAAAGTATTGTCATACATAATCAACAAATTATTTGAAACACAGCGTAATATAGTGTTTAACCATTTACTTATGGTACGTAAGCGTCATTGTAATATTAGATTGTTATTATAACATTGGACAAAAACTTAAGTTTCAGGATTCTGCTTGCGTACTTGATCTTTTATAAAATTTTTGTTTTATTAAAAATTGTTGTTGATTTAATCTATTATCTACATGAAATCACTGAAAATTACACAAATTCACGGTACAATTCCATAAAATCTATACAGATAAATAAAATTGGAGTGTCTGTTTGTAATATTAAAATAACCGCTTTTTCCTAAATGCATATGCATGTATACACTGTACATTTACCAAATTGACATTTTTTACAATTTTTATCTGTCTGTCTGTCTGTCTGTTTGATCCGGTTAATCTCTGAAAAGGCTGGGCCGATTTTGACGGGACTTTCAGTCGCAAATAGCTGATGTTATAAGGAGTAACTTAATAAAATAAAATAGCCTTTATTGCTGCTTCTATACCTTACAATTAACAAATGCCTACCTACTATAAACTAAATTTATTTAATCAATTACAACATAAATCTTTTGAATAATCGGCAACAAGATGTTTGTGTGGAACAGCTTGTCTGTCAACAAAGGCCTCCTCCAAAGATTTCCACGTATTCCTGTCTCTTGCTAAACGGATCCATACCGGACCAGCTATTTTCTTGAAGTCATCTTCCCATCTCTTGATTTTTCTTCCCCTCTTTCTTTTGCCATCTCTTGGATACCATTCTGTTATTAACTTAGTCCATTTCTCTTCACTTTCTCTTAACATATGTCCCGTCCAACGCCATTTGAGCTGTCTGTAGGCTGTGTGTGCATTTTAAATTTTGTTATCTTTTTAATTTCTTGTAATTTCACTCTGTCACTTCTTTTTATACCTAAAACACTCCTTTCTATTGCATTTTGGAAGACTTTTAATTTACTTTCTTGTACTTCTGTTAACGCCCATGTCTGGCATCCGTAAAGTAAGCATGGCATAATGCATATTTCGTATACTTTCTTTTTTCCTTTCATTGACATATCTTTATCCTTCATTATTTCTTTAAGAGACCAAAACCGTTTCCAAGAATTAGTTATTCTTCGTTCTATTTCTTTATTCATACACTCATCTGTAGATATAAGTTGGCCCAAATATATATATTCATTTACATATTCTATTTGTTCGTTATTTACTGTTATTTTTTGGTTGCTTACTGTGTGTTGGGAATTCGTCATGATTTTGGTTTTAGTTGGGTTCATTGTCGGGCCGGCCTTACGCGGACGAAGTCGCGGGCACAGCTAGTAAATAAAAATGTGTGCGTGTACTAGCGTACACTCGTAAGAAGTGAAACTTTTTTATGACGTTATTTTTCAAAAAATAATTTACTATATGCAACTTTACAGAAATTGGTTAAATAAAGTAAAATTAGATAAAGTTTAATAAAAGGCTTTTATTATCATAGACATAAATACAAATTCTACAATTATTTCATTTTAGCTTTGTATAATATTTAGTTTCTTATTTGTAATACATAGGTGGCGTTAGTAGTAAATTAGAACACACTATGGTTTGACCCTTGTAATTAGTATGAGGGTCCGCAAAAATTGTTGATTAAAAAACTTGCAACGTGAACCTTGTTTATTTCAATTAACCTCACGGACCCAAAATACAACCGCTTTGAATTTGTACATGGTCCTTCGTTGCCGAATAGTCAGCCAGTGAGTAGAAGGCAGACATTCGACTCGCGCGCCAGTGTTGTGAGTGAAGTTTTTTTGGAAAACCGAACTTGCGGACGTTGAATCGACGTCGCAACCGCAAGTTCCAGGAGCCGACCGATCGAAGCTTCGAAGAGCATCATCGGTCAGCTTCAGATTGTGTCTTCGGTGGACGGCGCAGTCAGGTCACACGGTGGGCGGTGCCTGCCTTTGGAGAAGAGGAAGTCTCTACAGTGTCGTGCTCTGAAGTATTAGAGCTAGCACTGTCATTACTACAAATATTATTATTGAATTTCATTAATTGTAATAGAATTATTACTATCATTGATGTCGTTATTATATATTTGTGTTATTAATGGCTTATGGTAACTAAAATACGAAATACATTGTTTACATTTTAGCATTAGAATTAAAATAAACCCTTTCATTTTGCTGATCACTTTAATATAACATATATATATATATATATATTGTTACGAACACGCAAAGGAACTAACGCCATCTAGCGTCAACTATTAAAACCACTAAAGAATAAAGACGACATAAAACCCCCTATTCAACACTAGATGGCGTTAGAGGAACATTTTAAGATAAAAAAAAGATGACACGTAACGCAAAAATGTTACACTAAATTTTTTTCCAACCCCGTTAAAGAAGTTTCACTTCAAAAATATAAAGGTTTTGTAAATGTTACCAAAAGCAAGTTTTGACGGTGGGGCCTATTTGTTTCTTTTAAAACGTACACAATTTGGTCTTAGGAGACGAGCGCTCGGCTATTGTTCATGGCAGTGCGTTGGGTGCGGTGCCTCGCGCCATTCCAAGCGCTGGCGCCGGCAGACCAGCTGGTGCTGCTACGAGCCGCGTGGAAGGAGCTGTTCCTGCTGCATCTCGCGCAGTGGTCGGCACCATGGGACCTGGCGCCGCTGCTAGCTGCACCGGCGGCCAGAGCGCGCCTGCCTCCAGATCCCCTCGCCGATCTTGAGCTGAACACTTTACAGGTATCATCAGATATCAGTAGCGTTAAGCGAATCTATCATTGATGTTTTGTTGGGGTAGGTCGCCGAAGTCTCCAGAATTCAATATTCGGCTTTGTTATATTTAGGTAATAAGTATAAAAGGCTTTATTTTATAAAAGGCTTTAAAATATTTTTAAGCTTGTGATAATATAAACAATGTAAGATTTTTGTTGTAGGAAATACTCTGTCGGTTTCGTCAAATAGCACCCGATGGTAGCGAATGTGGCTGTATGAAAGCCATTGTGCTATTTTCTCCAGGTAAGAATGCTTCTATTGTTCTGGACATGTTGTTACAATAATCGAGGCCTGTGACGACTGATAAACAAAGCCTCTTCCAAACATTTCGAAGTGTCTGTAACGGTGTAAAATTTTTATTAAAGCATAATAAATATGAACTTAATGTACCTATATTAAAAAAATAGAAAGTAAACCTAACCGAATTAACCTGGCGGCACTCGATTAAGAAAGGTAAAGGAACGAGAATAAGTAGTTAAAAATTATAAAATATGCAGATTTTTACATACCTTCCTTTGAGCAACCAATACTAGAAGTAGATATTGGTTGTTCTGGAGCAAAAGATGACATTTTTATTACTTATATTAAAAACCAAGAATTGTATCTAATCTAGAATAAATAAAAAATCTCTTTATGAATCTAATTCCTTTCGTCAGCTGTTTATTATAGCATAATTTGATGGGCTTTAATAGATACTCCGGGATTAACTGAGACGCAACCCGTTGAGATGCTTCAGGACCAAGCACAATGCATTTTAGCAGACTACGTTCGCACCAGATATACGCGGCAACCTACTCGGTAAGAAATTCAAAATTGAACTTGGGCTCTTTGTTAGGCTCGATAGAAATATCACTGGATAAGTCTAACAAAGTGAGCGAGGTTTCATCTGGCGAGTGGGGCACTATTCTTAAAGGTTGTCAAAAATTGCACGGTTCACTCACTATCGCCTATAGTTGAAACGCCTGCTCTTGCTAACAAAAAAATTTATTATTCTGGCCTTCCATCGGTTCTTATCCGTGTCGTTAATCAGCTTTGGCCGACTCCTGCTATTGCTGCCGTCGTTGAGGGCGGTTCGCTCGCGCTCCATAGAGCTGTTGCTGTTCCGAGAAACGGTGGGCGACGTGTCCGTTGCCACACTGCTGCACGACATGTATCGGATGCAGCCGGCCCCCGCACCGGCCCCCTTCGCTCCGCCAACCGTCACCGAACATTGTTCCTCACCGTAAACAAAATCTCCGCTAAGCATCCGAAGCTAAATCGTAGCACCGATCTCCTTATTCGGTCTCCTCATTTATGTGTAATATTTAGAGGCTGTTGTATTGCTGGCAAGTAGTGCTAATTGAAGATTAGATTAATAATGGTAACGGTATATGGCCTAGGGACATGTTGTGATTGTATCGAAACGCTGTAAATCATAATCAATTGTAAAATAAAATCTATTTCGTATTAAAATATTATATTAAAAATCATTCGGGTTTCTGAACATTTTGATCTAATATTCAAACATGAACCAGTGTATAATTTGTACAGAACATAATAAATGCGAGCTTTTGCTAATTGTGATACCATCTTGCAACTAGCCTTAATATTTCGCTGGTTATGGAAAAAAATTGGAAATCTGACCTGGTTTCGTATTAGTTCCATCATTAGAGATTTATCAGAACTCGGGGTAAGGATGGAATAAATTCAAAACAAAGCTTACGTCCGGTTTCTGAAACATTGATCATCGTAGAAGTAAACTAATCAGCTGTCAAATGGCTTTTCAAATGTTATTTGACTTGCCAAAAATTGTTACTCTCTGAAATTATCAGAATGATCAATTCAAATAGTTAAACCAACCTTTTGGCAACTCAAAAGCCATTTGATAGCTGATTAGTTAATTTCTAGGATCATCCTAGTGTTTCAGAAACCGGGCGTTAATCGCTAGTTGACGCTGACGACAAAACGATATTAAAATAAAATATGGAGATTGTCATATTTTTCTTTTCAAACTGTTTTTGAGCACAACTATTTTATGAATAAGAATATTAAAATAAAGATGAATGTCTCTCCTTCGCGATTAGACTGCAGTTCTGTCTTCAAAAATTTTTCTAACAATTTCGCTCCCAATTTGTTCGCCGATTTTCATAATAAAATCCAGGGTCTCTCTCACTTTATTTAAAACAAATTTTCGTTTGGGAGTGCATTCTGTCTGGTTAACATTTTTATTTTAAGAAAAAAGTGTGATTATAAAATTAAATTAAAATATTTCATAAAACTCCTGTAGCGTCTCACGTGTAAACTCATTAATTACATAAGAACGAAGTCGACTGTACAAGATGAATTCACAAACACCACAACGTAGGTACAATACAAGGTACAAGACTTATTATACAGTTAGGTTTTGGTTAGGTAAAAATTGACGTGACGTATGATAAAAAATTAAGTATTTAGTTTTCGGATACTTGTAATTTAATAACTGATAGAATAATATATTAACACAAAGCAACACCACAGTACTTTGTACGATTTATATTCGGGAACTGTTTTCATTCTTCAGAACGAGTGAGTAAACAAATTAATATAAATATTTATTTTACTCCCCGAGTTCAATTATATTTATTATTTGTATGTATAAACACTTCGTTTTATTCAACACGATTTTAATAATTATAATTGTACCATTTTTTTTTAGCTGATAATAATAATTGATGCCTTCCCATAATCTAGTCAAAATTTGTATATTAAAAGAAAAATAAATATCCCTGTTTTTTTAATCAAGAAATAAAACCGATAAACTATAATTTTATATAGGTGAAAATAGTTCTAGTCTAAATTAGTCACTTTATTATGAATAAAACTTAGCTATGAGAATATAATTGTGTAATGTGAGAATATAATTGTGTAATGTAATGTAATTTAGAAAAGAATGGAAAGATTTATAGCATCTGAATTTGTTGAAAATTTTATTACTATGGCTTATTCTCAAATTTAGGGAACAGACATATCGCCACGATCTTTAATAAATTTGTGTAAATATTTTTAATAAATTAATTTTAATTTATATAATCTTCATATAAATAATACATTAATACATATAGATATTATAAAAGGGTGAAACCAAATAAACCTGTTGAATTAAAGACCATGTGTTATTTGTTGTTTTATTTTCAAAAACATATATTTATATATTTATTCCAACACATAATTGAAAGCATTTTTTAGCATATGTAATTTCACTATGATTCTGAGCTGAAATGTGTTGTACAGAAATAATTTAGAGACAGTATTTTCGAACTAAAGGTCAAAGTTAACCTGTTAAATTAAGCTTGTTGATAGGAGTAACAGCTTCTACTGAAGACAAGTCAACTAAATCATCCCTCTCATCCAATTGTACTGAGTGCACTGTTTGTTTCTTGGGTTCAGTCCTAGGAAAATCCAACTTGCTCCATGCGCCTGGTTCTGCTTTCTTCAGCTTAATTTCTACTTTTGTTCCTAGCATAGATGCACTGCTCTTTTGTACATCAATAACCTGAATAAACAATACATAATCATAAATCCCCTAGTTCAAAATCTGTATACCATTACAAATAATTAAAAAAATACATGCAGTTAAATTTTTATATAAATATCAAGTTTGCAATCTCAAAAGACTTACATAACATTTGGTTATATTGCGTTTAATTTACAATTGACTGAAAAATAACACACTAAAAAGAAAAGAAAAATTACTGAGAAATAACAACCAATACAAAAATATGAAACCATTACAATATGTTTATTTCCATATTTAATTGTCACTGTCAATCTTTTCTGCGACCTGTATACAGCGCGTGTCATTACAACCGCGACAATAAATAAACACACATACAGGAAGATTTTTTGGGAAGTGCCCAAATTCACACAGGAGGTTCAGAGTCGGTAGTATAATCGTTTTTTTAATTAAAAACAGTATTTTTTCCAAAAAAATGCCATTCTATTCCCTAAAAAACAGAATGTGTTGACAATGCAGTAGTCATTCATAAATTCCTAAATTTTACTGTGCACGAACTTGTGTGCATGTTAGTTATGAACGATCGCGCGTAAAATAAATGAGTTGCGTATAAATCGCGCACTTTTTGAGATAAGGTCACATGAATGTAATTAATTACTTACAAGAGATTTTAAATATTTATCATTTTTTATATAACATTGTATGTCTAGAATTTAATAAAAAAAATGCATACACTTAGAAAAGCCACCTTGTATAGAGGATAACTTTTTAAAAGTGTATTAATCATTTACTTTCTTTAAAGGTCAATATTTACCGAATTATTTCATTTTTCCAAAACAAACAATTTTAGAACACCCTTACGTATAAAACTGTAATGTAAAGTTCATTAATTTGTAAAGTTCACAAAGCATATGAATGGGTTGAATAAATTTAAAAGAGATAAAATATACTGTTAGAGAGATTTGTAATGCGACGGTGTGGCAATGAATGAAGTCTCTGAAGGTATGAATCAGTCCAGTTGTAGTTATAGAGGATTTTACAAATTTTGTTTCTTTTATATTTAATTAGTTTGTTTGAAACATATTTTTTTAATTATGTTTTTTTTAACATTTTATATGTTTATATGATTATTGGCAAGTAGAGTTAGCGTGTTCATTTATTGCCGCGGTTGTAACGTGTATATAAGCAAGCTTTCTATCACATATTGAATATTGGGTAACAGAGCATTCTCTGTTTAACAAAATATACAAAAACAGCCAAAGAAACTGTTGTAATATATATTTACAATTATCAATTTACTCACTCCTCTCAATTCTAAGTCCAGTTCAAACACTGCATTATCATCTTCATGGAACACCAACTTAGTGTTTAGACGGATGGGATTCAGTTTCACATAGCTTGTTGTTGGATTATACTTTTTAGCATACACGCTAACAATAACAAAATCAGGTGTTTGATGCCAATCCCATCGACATTTTACAGTGCCTGCTGGTGTGCTCTGAAATCCATTACAATAAACAATTTATTTGAATGGACACAAAAACTATTAAATACAAAGAAATTATTATATTACAGTGTATTATTTGAGTGTCATTTGGTACATTGATTTTATAGTTAAATGAAACTTAAATAATTTTAGCTGTAAGGATTTAATCGATTTAAATTATTTACTTTACTGATTTTATATTGTTTATTATATTTAGTTAACCAAAATTAAATAAATATTTACAATTTTTTTAATAATATGGATATAGTAAAAATGTGACAGTACTTAGACATACACTTACATCTTTAAACCATTTATGAGACCCTGTTGTGCAACCTGGTTGGGACAGAAAAGTGTTAAAGTCTGTTGTCCTTTTTTGACAGCAGGACCAAAATTTTAGGCCTTCATGGAAAACTGGACAACCAGGGTGATAGGTACATATGGAGTCATTTGTTTGTGGACCCTCATATGCAGTATTACAACCTCCATTTTTGCAACATGTGCCGATTGCTACTGTCCTGGAATAATATAAATAATATATTTATTTATACATTTTCATTATATAAATATTATGGCATGTTGAATATAAAACACTAATACCCGTCTGAATCTGCTACAGACTTTTGTGGAGTTAATTGGACCACATTTTTCAAAGAGTCAGCAATATGGGCTTCTACAGTAACTAAAGGTGAATCGAAAGGAGGTCTGGGCAATTGTGGTCCTAGTATTGGAGCTCTAACTTCAATGACAGCTTTCTTGTCTAATTCTTTATCTAATTGTTTTTTTTCAGGTTCTGGTGGTTTCTAAAAACATAAACAAAATTAAATTATATACCTTATGCCACTAATGAATTATAATTTATACATATATATATATATATATATTAAAATACACAGCAAATATTATGTTTATTCAATTAATTTTTAATGATGGTTAATGTAAAGGACATTGATGTTCATGTAATACAATTGAAATAAATTTTAAACGATAGAGAAAAATCACTAATGAAAAGGCTACAACCTTCTAATCTAATCCATCGGATTGCTATAATATTTTTCTCAAAAACTAACCGACCAGAAAATTCTGCTTGTTGATTAATTCATTCCTGATTTTTCTCTATCATTTTTAATTTATTTTAATTGCATTACGCGAACGCTAATGTCACTTACATTAACCTTAAAGACTATCATACATTATTATAATGAATATTTTAATTTTTGGGTGTTATTTCAAGCAAATATCAGTTTACATTCATTTACATACCACATTAGAATGTTTAGATAAGGTGCATCCTTTTATATTTAAGAATTCAGTGAAATCGACACTTTTTTTGTTGCAACATGACCATCCTTTGTAAGCATCATGAAAGACAGGTGCACCAGAATGGTGACAGCATTCATCTAAAACATTTAGTTCCTATATATTGAAATTGTGCAAACTTTAAATGCTAAGAATTAAACTTATTAATGTATCACATATTTATGGAATGATGAAAGGTCTAGAAAATTCTTACCAGTATCATTTTTATTCGGATCAAATAGTTGGCCACAACCACGGTTATAACAAGGTACTAAGTTTTTATTTTCGGGCATTTTTAATTACAAGAAGTAAATAAGGCAGCTTTTCGATAAAATACGCTTCTAAACCGTTTAATTCAACTACTAAGAAGCATACATTGGTTATTGGTAAAAGAAATCACTTGACAACTGACTGACAGTGACATTTGACTGAGTTCAGTAGCGATGGGCGTTGAATCAACGAACTAGTTGAATCAACCGTTGATCTCTTGTTAACGAATTAACTTTAACTGTCATTGAAATCAACTAGTTGAATTCGTTAACGTCGTTTCGGACATTTTGTCGTTGAATCAATTCGTTTAAAAAAGCATTCAACGATACGTTAAGTCAACGGAAGATAAGCGAAACGAATTGAAAACCTTACGTTGAAAAAAACGTCACAGAGTTGAGTTGAAATGTTTGCTTAATTTTATGAAGGACATGTTTAAGTTCACTTTCTTTATTTTTGTTTGACAGTTTGTGAATAGTTGCGACAAGGTTATAGAATATTTTGCGACTTTGCGTAAATATTATCAGAACTTTACTTCATGATTAGTGTTTTTTTTTGTGAATTTGTTAATTTTTAATTAATTATATTTGGAATTTTATTTTATGTTATTAGTTTTATTTATCAGAATTTTACTTTGTGGTTAGTGTTTTTTTTATTTTAATTTATGATTATTTAAGTGTATAGAGGACTGTGGGTACAAAATTCAAAATAATTGAACGTATTAACAGTGAGTTATGGCTTCATACCTAAAAAGACAGTTCTAGCGGAAAAGCACAAATTGACCACTTTAACTTTAAAAAGTACTTGAAGCGGAAATATATTTAAATATATTCATCAGTGTTTTAGTACCAATCTTTAAACACCAGCGTATGATGGTTGACTTTGATAAGAAAAAAAATTAGTTTCGAACAAAAGAAAAAAATAGTTCAGATTTGTTAGATTTATGCATAGATAGCTTTCATCCGTTTTACCTAGTAGAAGAAAGGGCTTGCAATTTAATATATGTATGTGTCACGTTAATTAGTTCACTAATTTAACTAGTTGACGAACATGAATCAACGTTAACGTTAAGTTGAAGAAAATACCTTCAACGACCCATCGCTAGCGTTCAGTATTATGTCTTATCTATGATTGACATTTGACTGACAGTGTAGAAGATCAATTTTATTAGAGATTGTTACAGACCGCACAGAATCTTTTTTTATTTTTACATATTTGAAAAAAAGTATCTGTTTTTCAATCTTTTTTGGTGAGTTTATTTTAATTCTATAGCCAATGCCTACATATCAATAAAAACTTGTCAACTCGGCTGTACTTGTACTCACAATAAGTAACGTGGCCAGTGGCAGGCACCGGCAAAGTGGCCGTTTATACTACAGCAAGTACAATACGTACAATTTTGTTGCCTGTTGCCGGCAATTGTACTAATTTCCCTGTTTACACTACGGCTAGAGACGAGCCTAGTGCCCCGCGGAAGTTATGTAGGCGCGTAGTAGGGGTGCAAATGCACCAAAAAAAAAGAAAACTATTCAATTTTGGTCAATTTTTCACTCTTTACCGCATAGCGATTCATATATGGTTCACCGGATTCAGCATTTTTTTTTTCATGTAATAATGCAAGAAGAATGACTAATCGCATTGTTTGCATTGTATTTAATATGTTGGCAATACGAAAACATTTTTGTTGACTATTGTCAATACGTTATTTTAAAACTTCACTTTTCTAAGCGCGGGTGTCGCAAATAACATTTGATTAACAAAAAACAATGAACATTTATGCTATTTGGCAGCTTATTAGTTAACATCTACGATGATCAATATTTCAGAAATTGGGCGTGAATGGAATGTACTCTTTGGTCTGTGGCTGTGCACAACAGCAGTGTAGGATTTTGTACTATAATCATAGTATTTGTACTATAATTTCATGCTTCGTACTATATACTATCCATATCAAAGGATAGTACGAAAAAGTACTATAATTTCATTAATTTTACCTAAATGAGTATAACAAACAATACAATATTATACCATTCACTGCCAATCCAATAGTAAAAGAAGTTCTTTGGGTTGTAATTACATTGTAATGCTATCGAACAATACAAAGTTTTTTAACCACTAAATTATGTCTATTTACACAATAAAAATAGTGGTCATCGATGAACAGTCAACGGGGACTTAACGTGAATGGTATATATGTTTCGATACTCCGCTTTCTCAAACAGTCACTTTGCATATTGCGCTCAATGAAGTAAGTAAAGTTACGATTAATTTAGTACGGCCATCCCATTCTTATTTTAAATTCAAACTGATAACAATATTCTGCGAGTTTTTGTGTAAAATCAAATTTTTTTTTGTGTAGTAATTATGAAAACAATAGTGTAATATAATTTTTTGCCAAATCTATCCTTTTTAATTTTCTAATCTTTTTTACCGCTCAAATCCAACCCTGCAGCAGATGGACGACGAGCAGGGATGCCAACTTTGAAGGAGTTATCTTCCTTAAATTTAGGAAAAAAATTTACATGTTTTTTTAGGAAATTTACTTCCTTTGGGAATATTTTTAGGAGTTCAATTTTATTCACATTTAAAAAAAACTGCACAAAATTTTAAACAAAAAACATAATTTAATAGTTTAAAAAAAATATAATAATACATAACATGAAACAAAATATAAAGAGTGCTGTGCTGCTTTGGTGGACGTCAGACCAAGGTCTATGTGCCTTGTATGTATATTTTAACTTCTTTCATCATAAACTTTAATATTGAATGTATAATACATTCAATATTAAAGTACAGATACCTGCGGTACAGTCGTTGGCTACTGAACATGAATGACGGGCGGAGCCACGTTGACAGCATGCACCTGCTTTCGTAGCCTGTCCTTCGCGTGATTACGGCATGACTTCCAGACCACGTATGTGGTAATCATGGCTAAACATGTTGCTATGGCCACTAACAACATGCTCTGCTGGGTATTGTAGGACTCGACTTGACTTCCATTCTGCGCGACGACTACTTCTTCTTTACTATACGAGTTTCCCATTGTAGAGAATTCGTAACGTATAACGAACGGTAAACGAGTAAAATATTTAAAAAATATGCAAACCTTATATAACCAGGTACCTACGTCAAATTTGTTAGCTAGGCCAAAAATTGATAATACCTAATAAAATGTGTGCAATTGCGTTCAGAATACAACAATACAATTAAAATAGCAAACTTGCAAATATTATAGTACTCGTACAAAGTAAACTTGACACCCGTATGCCTTGCGCAAATACGGTAATAAGTTAAAGCAAAACACTGTTATAATTTAATACTTATTTTTGTCTTAGACCATTTTTGTCGAACAAACACAATTAATTATGCAAAATGAAATGCCACAGGATGTTAAAATTGTCGTCGGAAATGTTTACAATAAAACTTTTTATTTTATGTACTCTAATGATTACTATGTTAATTTTTTTTAATATTGTTTCGATTTCATTTGTTATTCTATATTTTTTAATATTGAGAGCAGAGATACAGCGTTTCTTTACAATCACGAAAATAAATAAAAGACATATCTGACGCTACTTGCCAATAATTATAAAAAAATATTAACGTTAAAAAAATCCAAAATTAAAAAAAATATATTTTTCTAACAAACTAATTAAGTAAAAAAGAAACAAAATTTGTATCATCTTACACAAATGACAACTGACAACTGACTGATACATACCAAAGTATACAAAGTTACTCTATGATACATACATTCAGAGACTTTTTCAATCGTTGCCACTGCCTTCTAACAGTATGTTTTGTCTCTTTTAAATTCATTCAAACCATTCATATGCTTTGTGACCTTTACAAATGAACTTTACGTTACAGTTTTCTAAGTAAGGATGTTCTAAAACTCATTGTTTTGGACAATTTACTAACTCGGTAAATTTGATGTTTAAAAAATGTAAATTAATAATACAATTTTAAAAATTTATCCTCTATATGTGTGTTTATTTATTGTCACAATTGTAAAGACACGCTGTATAAATGAATTACATTTTTTTTTTGGCAAACTAATGAAATAGTTAATTTAATCAGATAATAATTTTACCGTGATAAATTAAAAAAATATCGTGATTTTAAAGAAGACAAATTTTTGAGCCCACTAGATTTCGGGAGTGTTTACTTATTGCAATTGTACCAAATGAAAACATTAATTTAGTGTAATAAACTAGCAAAAAACTACACTTTTTTCTAACCGAAAACCGGAAAAACACAAAATAACGTATAGAATGTATGAGTATCCCTTAAAACGCCTATCGTTTTGCTCTTAGCAATGTTATTGATACGATACGACTACTTATTAGCACGGTCTAATACCCTTGCCGCTATAGATTCCTATTGTTGCAACTGTTAGGTAGGAAGGCACACTATCGGATGTTGTGCATACGTCATGTCTGTTAGGTGGTTTTTAGCTTGGGCACGGTATCAATATGATATTGAGCCATCCCCATCGTTTTTGGATAACGTGTTATTCATCGTGACAAAATACTATTTTGAAAATGTTAATGTAGGCTTAAACAGAGAAATAATAATACATTAAGATTGTTTGATATGTTTTATATGAATAAAAACGTCCAATTGGAAACAAATTGTTTTATTTTGAATGATAAGCCCATCATCGGCGTAAAAAATGCGAGTTTCGGAGGGCACATTTTTGCCAGTCTTTAAGTATTATTATACCAGAGCTTATTCAGTCATTTGACCTCCAACTTGGAAAATATGAAGAAAGTCGGAAATCACTTGATGTTTTGTGCTATATATCAACAGTTATTGGTTATTTTTCAGTGTTCCGGTTTCATAATAAGAAATAAATATTACCAATATAATCTATACATTATAAGGAACTAATAGAGGTACGTTTCGATAGTAAACGCCAGAATTTGTAGTGGGCCCATCGTGTAAAGAAAAAAATTGTCTACTTTAGGAAGTTTTTGCTAAAATTTATTCATTTTTAGTGGGTTTTCGAATTGCTTTAGGAGTATCTTTTTTGTACAGTTGGTAACACTGACTACGAGTATTTGTATTGACATAATTGCGAATGTAGGCGTGCAGAATGTAAAAAATTCTGATATAAAAATTACAAATACAAATATTAACATTTACAAAAACAATTGATCATGTATTTGATGAAATAGATAATTTGAGACTAGATTATATAAACGTACCTTGAACGTTTTTTCTTCTAAGTAAAGAAACATGTAATTGTCAAGTAATATAAATGTCGATATGTAGAACCATGCACAAATAAATTTTACTTTTATAGATGTAATTTAAGTAAAAAGATGTTTTGATAAACGTTATATTTTTCGCGACCAAGATGAATTTAATGCGCAAATTGCGAGGGGCATCAGCCTCTACATCTTCAGATTCTGAGAGCTCCAATTCTTCGTCACACGTTCAGCTTGGCCTTATGCATTTGAAAAAGCTTTTCGCGGAATATACCCATCCATCACAGCCTCTTTCAGAGTCTGAAAAAGATGACAAACTATACAACATGCTTCCTCTCTTCTGTAAGGTAAAATCTTTTAATCCCTCATTTACTATCATTTCTTATTGACCACAATAGGAGTGTTAAAGTGAATGAAAAAGAAATGTGTATAGTATTGCAAGTAATAGTATTTCTTGAGTAAGCTGTAAGGTCATAAATTAAATACATTTTCATGTAATTTGCTTTGTGACGCAGGTATTTGGAACAAGTCCTTCAAGTGAGATGAATGAAAAGTTCTGGGATATTCTTTCATTCTGCCAGCAAGTTTCAAAACTTATGGTATCGGAGATAAGAAAAAGAGCAAGCAATCAAAGCACTGTGGCCGCTAGTTGTGCAATTGCAAAATTTTTGGAAATTGAGAATTCAGAAGAGTCAAGCAATGGATGGATGTTATTATCGACATTAAATCTTTTAGCTGCAGGAGATCAATCGTTGATTCAGGTGGGAATACAATATCGCTTTTATTTTAATGGAATTCATAGCTTTGTTTCAAATTAATATATTAATACTTTTAGTTTTCTTGTGAAAAAAATTGAGTATAATGAGATTTATAAATAAAGTTTTGATTGATTATTACTTCTAATCTAGTAAGTTATACTCTTACTATTTTAGCTCTTACATAAGAGTGTCAGACTAGCAAATTTACGAACATATCTGTTTTGTAGGTCATGACAACAGCAGCTATACCATCAACATTAGTTAAATGTCTGTATTTGTTTTTTGATCTTCCTGAAATACCTGATGCGGAGGCTGATGTTCAAGATGAAAATAGTGATTTTACTCCAAGGGAGAGAAGAATTCTGCTTCAAAAGATTTTTGTGCAGGTTATTTTTATTCATATTTTAAAATCATTTCTTAAATGCAATGCAATAACAATCTTAATTCTATTATTTAAATGACTAATAGTAACTTATGCTCAAATTTTAATTTTATGTGATTAGGTATTAGTCAGGCTATGTAGTCATCCCTTCCCCTGTGAGGAACTTGCGAGGAAAGACGATTTGAGTCTTTTATTCTCTGCTATTACATCTTGGTGTGCACCACACAACATCATGTGGAGAAAGTCTGCTGCTGAGGTGTTAATGACACTATCTAGACATGGACTCACACAATCAGTTGTGCAGTATATACATAGTAAGTATTTTATTGAAATGAATTTAATTTTACAATCAATTACACATCTATGTTCTGATTTCAGATAAGGGATGTGTGGCGCTTTGTATAGAAAATATGCAGAGAATACCAGAGTTGACTCCATTGGAGGTATGTAAATTATTGTGAGCATAAAATGCATATTAACAACCATTATTATCACCCACTAAGCTTGAATAAATTAGCATTACTAAGTCTGTAGTTGCCTTATTCCACAAGATATGTACTAATGTTGATAAATTTTGCATTGATATTTTAGTTACTAAAATATCTTGTTGAACATAATTAAATTGTATATATGCTATACATTATTGTTTATTGAACAAATTTTGTATTATGACAATTTTAATTTTTATATAAAAATAAGATGTGATGAAAGACAAACTATAAAAATATGTTTTGTAATGAGTAAAGGTCCATCCCATTGGCCATAAACAGTCACACTTGTAGGGTTGCAATTGTGTTATCAACCTTTAATACCTTAAGTAGGGTTGCATTTTATTATCAACCTTTAGTAGCCTTGCGTACCCAGAGTACTGGCGCACTACACACCATATAGAATATTCACATTCATATAGAAACTAAATCAGTACTTTGTTTGCAATTAATAAATGTACACAAAATACAAAATCTTTGATCTCATTATAATTTTTATCCATTTAGGTCGTGGAGATGTTTGTAGCAGTATTCTGCTTTCTAAAGGATTCCAGTGAAGTAAGTCAATTACTACTAGATGACTTTCGCTCCTGCCAAGGATATTTATTTTTGTCTGAGTTTTTACTGAAGTAAGTAAAAGTTTATTCACTTATTGTAATAAGTTAGTTGCTTTATAGTTATATTAATGATTGATTTTGTTATTTGATTTTACTTTGATTTTTTTTTATTTTTTGTTACTTCAGACATGAGAGACAAGATGTACCTGATTATTTGACATCAGGGTAAGCTCAAACTAATGTTAATTAATAAACTAACAGCTTTGTAAATTCTATCGCCTCATCTCACTAACATTTGACTGGTATATCTTTATGGTGGCTATATCTAAATTAAAATTGTGTTTAAATATAAGATTTAGTGGTAAAGAATATTTTTCTTGAAGGTGATTTGGTAGAACGCTATTCTATAAATTTCCATTTGTAAATTTGTTTATAGTACACCTCTTATATAAATTTCGAATGAGGCCTTTTCAATTGGGACTGTGATTCAATTATTAAAGAAATTGAAAAATAATCTACGGTAAATTCACCAAGCTTAAAAAATGTGCTTATGATTTTTTATATATATTATAATTTTTTCTAATTAGAAAATATGCTTTGTTTTTCACACTTCTGTAGTATGGAAATATGCACGCAATAAGTACTAGATTTTATTTTTCTAATTTTTATTGTATTATTTAAATATATATGCTCTATATTATAAATATACAGAATTCTTATTCTATTTATTGTATAGGTACTATAAAAGTTTTATTACATGAGTTTCAATAACAGTGTAATTAGTCAGATAATAGGGGAAATGTTCAATGTAAATCAAATAAACTGCTGACAGTTTGTGTCATAATATTCTATAGTATTCAGATGATTTATTCTGTAATAATTCTTTCATTCTGCATATGGATAATAAAAATATGAAGGAAACTATAGGTGCATACTGAGAATTTAATTTGGTATATCAACAGTATTATGTGTAACATTGTAATATTGTTGTGTGCTCATGTTAACTTTTATTTAATTTTGTTTTAAATAGGTTAGAAGAGGAACGAGTGAGTGGCACTGAAGCCAAGGCTGCACTGAGAAATCTCGTTCTAATGATCTCTTCACTATGTGCATGTGGTTTTTCCGAGTTGCGACCCACCCGAGCAAATACGGAGCTGTTTCAACTGCAAGGTTTCGTTTTGCCCCAACCATCCACTCCCGGACAAGCCGTTAGGAATGTACAAGCTTTTCAGGTAGAGAAATTTTTTCTCATTGAATTTTGATGACTCACTCACAAATGTAATTAATGGCTTTGTGGTAGCTAGTTGAATGACTCATAAATGTAATGAGTTGAATTATTAATTCCTTTATTCATTCACACCCAATAAATCAATTTAAAAAATACAAAACTCATAATTTTATGCAAGGCCCTTTAAATTTTCTCATGAGTCAGATGTCAGAGCATATTATACATAATTATTTTTATAACAGTTATTTATAATATATATATTTTTTTTCTTCATAAAATATTATCTACACACACAGCCAATGTTAATATGTTTAGGTACTACAATCGGTATTCATAAAGTCAACATCAGCGGCTCTCTGCTGCACGATCCTTGACGCAATATCAAGTGTATATCACGCGGACAACGCCAACTACTTCATTCTGGAGAATCAGAACACGCTGAGTCAGTTCTCCGAAAGGATCTATACCAAGAACTCTGAAATACAAGAGAAGTTCTTCGAGCTGTTGGAGTTCATAGTTTTCCAGTTGAATTTTGTGCCCTGCAAAGAGCTCATATCGCTCTCTCTGCTCCTAAAAGCAAACAAATCTAGGAGCTGTAGTATTCTTTGCATGAAAACTTTACTGAATATCCTGAAGTGAGTAATGTTTAAAAAAATAATTTTTCTTAAAATAGTCTAAAGGCCATTGACAATTGCGACTAACATTTGAGAATAAATCCTATACAAGGGAGAAATAGTGCAGATTTCAGAATAATATGTGTATTTAAGACACAATTATTTAATAAATAAATTGTTTAATTTTTCCTATTAACGAAAGTTTTAATAATTTTATTATTTGCCATTAGTTTTATATTGCTATAATATAAATATCCTTTTTAGACACAACACAATATTTAAAGATGTGTATAGAGAGGTGGGGATGTTGGAGGTTTTCGTCACCTGCCTGTCCCGATATGCCGCCTTCCTAAAAGATAAGCAAATACTCGAAGAAGAGAAGAGGAAAGCTGAGGGTTCGGAGAACGCATCAAACGGTTCTCCAGTAGCACCAGAACGAAGAAAGCGACTGTCCAGGCAAGAGTCTTTGATAAAAGACCCAAACACTGACATTGAAGAAGAAGCCTTGGGTTCATTAGTCATGGAGGGACTGACAGCACTGCTCAGTGGAAATACAAATAATTGTAATGTCTTCAGAGATTGCGGTGGTGCCAAATGCGTTCATGGCATGGTTGTGCATGAATCTTGCAGGAACAAAGCTTTAGGTGAGTTAAATATTTTGAGGTTACGCAATATTTTTACTTATAAAATATAAGTAAATTACAATTTTCATTTAATGTATATAATAATAATATTGTAATATATATAATAGAAAGATGAACATATAATCACTCATTACAAAAGCTACAAAAATTTTCATTAACCCCAATTTTGTACTCCATAATTAATTTACATCACAACCCTCCGATGATTACAATGTTTATGTATTTTTATTTCTCATTATTTCGTTTTTTATATCATTAAAATAATAATGAGAATATTAATTAAGTAATACTTAATATAAATAATAAAATCACTTAAAATATTTTTCAAAATGCATTACGTTAGGTATTGTTTATCTATTTTTATTCGTCGTTATGATTTCTTTTATTCTTATGATATGAATCTTCGTTATGATAATTTTCCACACATTAAATTTTAGATAAGCATTATGCTATTCGGTTCTTATTAAGCAAAATTTAATATGTGGAAAATTCCAGTTTTATTTGTTTTCTATCTCTTAAAATGTATTACTAACGTTAAAAAGTAAAGTAACAGCCTATATACTTAAAAACTAGTTTAGTTTAACAATCCCACTGCTGGCTGACTGCAGACTTGGCAGACTTCACACATCCACGAAATATTTTTGTTATTATTTCGAAAATATGCAGGTTTCCTCACAATGTTTTCCTTCAACGTTGATCACGTGATAAGTCAGGATTGAAAAATAATAATTTCATTGGTGCCGGCGCCTATATCATGTTGAGTATATTGAAATCACTGACAACATTCGTCTCGGAATGGACGGAAGTCTAGTCACAGTATTGGTCTTGCTGGATTTCAGCAACGTCTTCAATACTGTAGATCATGATATTCTGTTAGGTGTACTGTGTTCTCGTAACATATCTCTAAGTGCAATTTCCTGGTTTCGTAGTTACTCGTCTGGACGCCGGCAGCGTATTCGAGTTCAGAACAGATTTTCTGCATGGCTTGAGACAGTAGCTGATGTTCCGCAAGGTGGCGTGTTATCCCCACTGCTATTTGCAGTTTTCATTGATTCTATTTCGTCCCAAATATCTTCTCTTTACCACTTGTATGCAGATGATCTCCAAATTCAAACCACTGCAGAGGATCTTCCAAAAGCTGTGGATAATGTTAATAGGAATTTGGCTTGTATTCTCGACTGGAGTCGACAATATGGTTTGACTGTTAACCATATACAATCTCAAGCCATAATAATTGGAAGCTCAAGATTAATTACAAAGTGAAATAAGAACCGAATAGATCCTGTTATTTTTAATGGCACGGTAATCCCTTATAGGACAGTGTTAAAAATTTGGGTATATTGATACACTCCAGTTTTTCTTTTACTCCTCAAATTAATGCAGTCACCCGTAAATGTTTGCAGCATGTGGTTCGCTCAGAAGGTTGAACTACTTTTTACCTATTTCCACCAAAATTACGCTCGCTCATTCTTTGCTGCTTCTTGATAATGCTAACATATGCTACCTTGACATCACTGAGCAACTTAATAAACTTGAGCGACTCCAAAACCTATGTATACGGTTCATATTTGGGCTCCGTAAATATGACCATCTGAGTTTCGCATTAAGCTCAAGTGGCTCCCGATTCGTTTTCGCCGAAATGCTCACATTCTTTCTGCTCTTTACTGCGTCCTATTTAACGTATCAAGTCCGCAATATTTGAAGGAACGTTTTCAATTTCTTTGTTCCTCTCATAACCTTCCTCTACGTTCAACTCAAAACCTCTTCCGAAAACATCCTATCCATGAAATCTTCTAGTTTTTACCATAAACCCTTCTCTGCTGTTGCTGTTAAACTCTGGAACTCTTTGCCTTTGTCTATAAAACGTGCTCAAACCCTACATTCTTTTAAAAACAGGTTAAGGAGCATTATCTGTCTGTCTAGCTAGCGTCTAACTCTATGATCACTCACAAGAACTTAATTAATAAGAAACACATACCGTTTCTTAATAATTTAATTTTGATTGGTGCTTTCTTTTTATTATTTACCTATTTATTTTTATTTCCTTCATGTACATCCTACCCATCAACAATTCCTTTTGGTAAATTTCGGAGGTTGTCTGGAAGAAATTGCTGTGTAGCAATAAGGCCGCCTTTTTGATGACCAGTATTTGATAAATACTTGGTTTTTTGTACTTTTTTATTTTTATTTTTTGGTGTACAATAAAGTATATTATAATTATTATTTTTGAATTAAAAGCGTTAGCCCGACTCTGAGCTATATGTCAGCTCTTCATATGACAGCTATTCGGCCTAACGTTTGGGATTCGAAATTCAAAAACAACAACAACAACAAAAACGTGTAATAACATTATTTTAGGTGTGATACGAGAGTTGATCGTGAGCGGTTCCGGTGAAGAGGACATGTCTGCGTTGCTCTGCGGAATGCACGCGGCACCGAATGACGCGTTGAATCTCAAACTGCACATTCTCAAAGCGCTGCTGACATGTTTACGGGATTCCCACCGCACTAGGACTATCTTTAGAAAAGTATGTAAATATTCTTCGGAAATAACGTTCAGTTGGACTTTGTTTCTTATGCACATGCTGCGATGTTTTTTTCGTGACAAATAAATTTGTGATGTGTGAATAATAATTAAAGCGTAATTAAGTCTATGCCTTTTCATCACACTTTAGAAGAGCTTTCAAATTAAGCCTTAACTTCATTTCTAATAAGGAAATGAAAGCAGTGGCTTAGTGTGGTAACGGCTGATAACGTTGACATCGTGGCTCTAAATCACCATGTGTTTATTTATTTTTTCTTTTCTTGCATCCATGACAATTGTTGTAACATGTGGATAGAACAATTTTGTTGTCTAAAAAATGTAGAAGGACTAAAAAATCCTTTATTAAAAATTCCTCATATATTAAATGTCCTGTTCTTGATATGCATGTTCAGGATATGCATCAGCTCATTCTCAGGACTTGTAAGTCCCATAGTTCCTTGCAGGTTTTTATAATGCCCTTACTTTGTAATCATCACTATCATTATCAGCCGAAGGTACAGTTTTAAACAAAGGCCTCTTCTCTTAGAACGCTACAACGAACGACCAATTGCCATTTTCAACTACCACTACTTTGCGCGCGACTCTTACGATATCGTTGGCCAACCTAGTGGGAGGCCTTCCAACACTATGTTGTCTTCGTTTACTAAATAGACAGCATTTTAATGTTAAAGTAGATTACTTTAATGTTGTATGTAACTTTAAAGTTGTGGGAGAGGATTGGTTAGTAAGTTCTAAAAAACACTGCGAACTAGAAAGTTCTTTTGTAAACTTTGCCCTTCAAAAATTATTGCCCACTTACTGTGTGATAAAATTATCCTGTGGTGTTGTAGGGACGTTTTTACATACATAATTTCCACGTGGACAAACACCCACTTATTTGTGGTTCACAAAAATAGTTGTTTTGTTTGGGAATCGATCCCACTGCCCCGGGCCCCAAAGATAACCTTGGCAACTGCGCCATGGAGACATCTAATGTTAAATGCATTTTCGTTTGAAGGTGAGCGGTTTCGTGTACGTAACGAGTGTGCTGGTGTCGCTCGAGGGCAAGCTTAAAGGAGACGAGCTGATTGACCGCGACATGTTGCAGCTGTTGCACATTGTGTTCTACACTATCAGCACGGCGATGAGGTTCGAGCCTGCGAACGCGAAGTTCTTTCATCACGAGGTATCCATGAATGTTATTACGAATCTAGTGAGTTGTACTTCACCACGATAGACTTTTGTGGATGGCTGTAACTAAAACGGGCTTAACATAAAAACCATGAAAACTGAGAATCCTGAGCAAATGCTTCAGTCACAGGTTTCTTAAAGTTTAACATTAAAACAATATATATATATTTGCTATGTTTAACATTGTTTATTTCAAACCTTAACATTGTTTGGAACATGATTTGGAATGAAATTTTATTACATATTTATATATTTTTTAAATATGGTTACTTTTTAGATTTGCATGACAACCCTAAGTGAAACGATAAGACTGTTGGGTTGCTTCACCACTGACACCGAGTTATTGAACGACTCCGAGAGCGGTGATCCGGAACTGTATGAGGTCTTTCATGAGATCTTCACTGGGAGCATCTTAGACATGACGTACGTATTATAGAAAGTTCTTAATACAAAAGTTGTTGCTCGTCATTTTTTTTTGCAATTCAATAAGTCTCCTAAATCTGTTTACAGTTTCCCAGAGACAGTGCCAGTCGTCTTTATCCACGCCTGTATTGTGTTGAGACTATTATATGATGTTGCGTTGGATTCATTCGACAAACCGACATTTTGCGGATCGCTTAACGTTAAATCTCCTAGTTTGACTAGGCAGAGCTCCGCTATTAACGAGGTAAGTTTTGAAGACTGCATTAAAATGATCCACCAACTAAAATTTAATAAAGTAATGTATTTGATTACTACCTGCCATCTTCTTTTGACCTGTAAGTACATTTTGTAAGTGGTAGGGCCACGCAGCAGCTTCGGTTGTTGCACGAATGGGCAAGCCCGTCGGGGTAAGTACCACGACCTCACAGAAGACCAGCGTAAAGTGGAAGTATGACAAATACTTTCGCGTTTCGTCGGTGAGTGAGGTAGCCGGAGCCCAATTTTCAAAAGGTTGTCAACACATCTGTAACCCTCGGGTGTAGGAAAAAAAAACCTGTCGAGTTGTAGCCCCGCCCATTGTAGCCCTTAGTTTAAGGTGTTTTAAAGTTTAGAGGTACAGGCTAGGCGCCCTCAAGCCCGGTGGATCTGTAAAGGTCAAAAGTTGTTGATCCGGCAAAAAAAAAAACAATAAAGTTTAAAATAAGTTAAATTCGTCGGTGTGGCAATCGGCCATTTAGCTTAGTGGCTAAAGTGTCAGTGCACGAATCCCGAAGTCGTGGGTTCGTTTCCCACAGCGGCGAGAAACTTTTCGTTCCTTTTTTCTACAAATTTTATTTTCTACATATTTTAATAAATAAAGTCTATAAATGTTTGACATTTTTTTAATGTTTTAAGAATTTGTTATGAAATATTTTACGATTCGCCCCCCATATGCCCGTGTAACATTTTTTCAAAAATAAAATTAAGTTTTAACGGCATTTAGAGTTTTTATACTATAAATTCATTAAACTGACATTTACACCAATATTCATTCTCATCTTCTTTCATACGCAGCAGTATTTGTTAGGAAGTCTAACAGGCCAAATAAATTTATCGATTGATAATATTAGCGTGATTAGTATTTTGACTTTGTCAGTAAACGATCTAAAACGACTACCATTTTCGACTCTTATTAAAAAGGGGGCCAACTTTAGAAAGCTACATTACGTATATTTCGATCTCTTTCACACAAACGCGGTAATTGGAGGAGCCAATTACAGCGTTTGTTCACAAATGCTCAAATCGTTTTTCGAATAGGTCGCTATAATTCTAAAGTGCGTATATCTCTCCTCAGACAAAGCCAGCGGGACGCGCGGCCCCACTGAACTTATCTGTGGGCAGTTCATCCGGCGAAGCGTGGGTGGTGCATTCCGGGGTGGTGATAGTGCTGGCCAAGCTGTTGCCAGCGCTGCCAAGGCCGGAGCAGCACGAGGACTTCGCGAGGGCTATGCGCGATTACCTCGCCCACGTGCTCAAGAGCCTCGTTAGGAGGTGCGCGCCGTTGGATGGAAATATTAACTAGATAAATAGACGTTCGCACTGTAGGGTGGATTATTGATTTCTTAGTTAAATCTATATTTTATAATATGTGTTAAATATAGTTAAAAAATATATTCGATTTTTCAGCGCTCTACTCCGCAAACGGTTAATTTTACAGAAAAATAAAAAAGGCCTTCTTGTAGATAACTTCACAACAGACAATTTTTAAAATGACCTGTATTGACCTCCGAGCAATAGGTCGCGAGATATTTGCGAAAAAATGATTTTCGTTACCTTTTGACCCTTGTAACTTTTTTAGCCGGCACAATATCAAAGTTTTTTCACGTCTTCATTAAAACGCCGTAATAAAGGTATATACAAAAATTCAGCTCACTAGGAATTTTTCCGCAGATTGGGGTTTTAAATGCCTAAAGTGACTAGGCTATGTATAGCCCAGGGTAAACGTAGGGTGTTTGCTTAGGATGCGGCAGTAATACTTTGACTTCGTTTTGTGTACTCAATTATTGTAGTTCCCTTAGAATCAAACATATCGATACAATCGTTGCAAAGAGTTTTCCAGCGGATGGGGTGATTTTTAACTTCTTCGGTGGGTCTGTTCCTTTTTTGTGTCACTGTATAGCCTCTTGCTTGTTCTCAGGATCATAGTGATCGAATCGTTACCAGTTTTGTTTCACTAAACTTCCACGGCTGTATTTAAAGAATAATGTAAACACCACCCAGTTTCACTTCTCTGCCATGCACTTGAAACGCGTTAATAATAAAATTGCAATGATATAGTTGCGTGTGTGTGTAGTTCTATCATTAAAACATGTTAGTTCTATCATACAGTGTGTACATTATTACGTTATTGTTGAGTGTGTGTGTGCGTGTCGGCGTACTGATTTGTGTTTCGTCCGCAGCGAGCGCAACCAGCAAGTGATGTGCGGCGCAGGACTAGCGGGAGTAGTGCTGCGCGTGTGCGGCGCTGCGCTGCGCTGCGAGCGGCACCCCCTCCATGCGCCCGCCATGTACATGCTCGAGCGGCTCGCCGCGCACGCGCTGCGCCCCATCGAGCTGCGGTCGGCCATTGTACCTCCCTATTGAATGAAATGCTCGTGTTTAATGCTGTGACGTTCGTCGTATTGTCGTACCGCACCCCGAGACAACGACAACGGCTTAGTACTAAACTGACTACAGAAAATACTGAATGACTCTAATTGAATTAGTATTACGAATTTAACAAATGAAAAAACAATACTGGCTGATTGATTTTTTTATAACCGTAATTTAAATAGGTTCACATTTGAAGTTAATCATTAATGAGTAAATTTACGTTTGAGATTCATCTTCAGCGTCATGTCAGCCTGTTACAGTCCACTGCTGAAAATAGGCCTCCCGTATAGACCGCGACGAAGCACGATCCTGCAGCCACCAGCAGCCACCGAGTTCCCTCACACTTGCACAGCTAGCTTACTAACACTCTGTTATCTTTGTTCTATTGCGGATGTCTTCATTACGAACTTCGCTGATACCTAAATGAGGCATAAAATATTTTTTTGTCAAGTCAAGAGATCTCTTATGTGGTCGTTCGTACTTGAGAGTTTCTGCGATTTATCAAAAATCAAATAATGCCCTCCTTTTTAACCCTAGACATTAAGTAACAATATTGTTATTCCTTGATATTTGATTAATAATACAATACGGGATTGATAAATTGGGCTTATATTAAATAATTGTACTTACAGAGAATTCCTCCGAATGGGCAATCCGTTGAATTGCTTGGCACCAGAACCCGGACAAGTGTGCAAACCCGGAGGACCCGTGCCACTTACAAGGATAAAGACTCTAGTATCCATGACAACTCCCAGGGATTACAGGTTTGAAATTTGTAATCCTTACTTCCTTACTAATATTATAAACGCGAAAGTTTGTATGTATGGATGGATGTTTGTTACTCTTTCACGCAAATACTACTGAATGGATTTTAATGAAACTTTAAAATAACATAGCTTATACATCATAATAACACATAGGCTATAATTTATATACATATTTTTATGTATATCTGTCTTTCTGTCTGAATGTTACGCCTTCAGCCTATTCTACGCAAACGTAGTCGCGGGCAGCAGCTTGTTTACAATAATGATATAGTAAAATCTTACCATCCTTGACTAAATGGGTCAAAACGGTTTATTTTTATCACCTACCTAATATTTTAAAAGCAAATTACAGTGCAGGCCAAGCATTGCTTAAAATTCAATAAAAGCAAAAAGTTGATAAATACGTCGAGATTTTCATCGGTGGGAAGATATGCTTATAGCTCAGTGGCTAGAGCGTAGGGCGCGTAATCCGGGGGACGCAGGTTCAAGTCCTCGCACCGGCCAAAGTCCATTATTCTCCAAATTTTAAATATAATGAAGGTTTCATTTCAGGTCACAGAATTCATGCACTCTACCGCCGTTCGTCGAGTTTGATATGTCAGCGGAGGGCTTCGGCTGTCTCTACCTGCCTAGTATCGCGCCGCAATCCGCGAATTTGAATGCCCTCGGCACCCAGGACACCGCTACATTGGGCGGCATCGGTTCGGGTACGTATTTTATCGCACAAATTTGCATTTAACTTTCACCGAAACTTATTATTAGAGTCATTTTTTCGTTTTTCTTTATACGTCTTATCCTGTTTTAATATATTTTATTACAACACAATAAACGTGAAAGGTTAGCAAGTGGGAAGTTTGAAAATGGGCCATTGTTTAATGGTGATTAACATGCGTGGTTCAATTATCTGCACCAAGATCTGAAGAGCAGTATATAGAAAAAAACCGTAAATAATGTTGTAGGGTAATTTCTGTTGTCGAAATGGAAAAACTTGCTCTCACAGACGACCGCCGTGAAGTGGAAAGATAACAATTTCGCGTTTCGTTTGATGATTGGAGTAACCGAGGCTCACTCTTTTAAAGGTTTCCAACAGATATGAAGCCCTACAGGTTTTGTATTTACAAAACCTGTTGGAAATCTATAAAATATCTGCTTTTTTTTTGTTTCTTGTTCCCGTTAATTTATATGTAGTGATAACCCTTATTTCAGCGTAAGAGACGCTTAATTAAAATTAATGAACATTACATGCAATTGATACTATCAACATACATGATGAATGCACAAAATGAAATATTGAAAGCGTACGAACATATTTGGTAACTTTATTGAATAAAGAAAAAGACAAATGTAATTGTGATTGTTTACATTTTGATCATGTCCTTATGTAGTAAAAAACATTTGCGCTTTCCTTACTAGGTGACAGAGTGTTCCCGCCGCAGACGGGCCTCTCGTACTCGACGTGGATATGCGTGGAGAAGTACTCGGAGCCGCGCACAGACCCGCACTGCGTTCGTCTCCTGACCCTGGTGCGGAACATCAACAACAGCCGCGACGAGCACCTGGTGTGCCTCGCGGTGGTGCTCTCCGCCAGGGACAAGGCCATCATTGTGTCCACGCAGGAGACGCTGGTGCCACACAGTGAGTACTCCTCGATACGTTTTTTACCCGACTGCGCCAGAAGGAGGGTTATGTTTTTCGAGGGTATATTTGTATGTATGTATATTGTTTGGCACGATCTGCAGCCTGGACGGCTTGATGGATTTTAACTTGAGAGGTGTCGTTAAACTCGTGTTTATTGTGAGAGTGACACTGTATATTGAAATCATTTCCAAATTACACAGACACTCAGTCGGATTTTTGAGTTTTTTTTTTTAAATTAAGTATATCTACTTGTTTTTATAAGAACGCGAATATAATAAATATTGAAAGCATAAGATTTATGAAAAAATATAAATGAGGAAGTATGTCTCAAAAATGTCCGATTACAACTGAGATGCCTGCGTTATCTTGTACAGTACATGAATATGTTTTTTATTTAATTCATAAGAACATGTCTCACTGATATATAATAGACATATTTGAACTAGATATCTCAGTGGCGCCTTAGCTAAGCTATATTGGCTTTGGCCTCGGGGTCGTGGGTTGGATTCCCACACGGGACCAATATTTGTGTGATCCACAGATAATTGTTCCGGATCTGGGTGTTTGTTTCCCAAGAAGGGCAGGCAGGCTGGTCGTAAAAAACATAGCCGAAACCACTTACAACTTTATTCAAATTTGCCGACCGATAAGGACAGGAAGATGATGATGATATTTGAACTAGTTTTAAGATAGAATTCATGTACTCATGCGCGCGTTATCTGTGGTTGTGAGTTATTTATTGTGGGAAATGTATTACGCTCTCAAAACAGACGTGGGTGAGTGGGAACCAGAAGGCTCCGGCGAGTGTGGCGCAAGAGTTTGGTGCCCGGATTTGCAGCACGAGGGGCAGTGGCACCATCTGGTGCTTGTGCTCAATCGCGCCGTCCTCAAGAATTCCTCCTTTTCCTTGTATTTAGATGGTAAATATTTTGGAATTTGTTATTAGCTATACATTTCCTGTGAAAACGCTGAAAAGACTAAGCTGGAAATTTGTTGTAGAATAGTTATTGACTGTCATCGCCTTGATACAAAAAATATACTTGAGCGATGTGAATTCAGTCAGTCAAGAAATGTAGAAGTAACATGTTCAGAAATTTTCATGGTTTATCTTACCTGCGTACCGATTTCATAATTCCACAATTCTTGCACTTCTTTTTCGACTATATATTAAGTAACATTTTCGCATAAAGCACAGCGATAATAGGTTATTATGATGTCCTCTTTCAACCTATCACTAAGCTATTCTTTCCGGTCGATTTTCCTTAATTCGTTGTTGTCTCATTTCGATGCCAACGAAACATTCCTTTTCGGTTCTGTAAGCACGGTATAAAATTCTTTAGAATTGGCGTTGGCAGTTTTGTTCACATAATAACTGCTTGAAGGAAGTCACTGGTCAACGCGGGCACTCGCTTTCTAAAAATCGAAAGAGATCGCAGGTCAATACAGGTAGCGTTCTAACTGCTCGTATGAAGGCACAGTTCAACATAGAATCTAGCGTTCTAGCTGTCGTAAGACATCACAGGCCAATACAAGCATGTATGACGTCAGAGGTCCGCACACGCACTCGCGTCTAAACTCGTATGACGTGACAGGTCAGCACACGCACTCGCATCAAATACTCGTATGACGTCACAGGTCAGCACATGCATTCGCGTCTAATAATCATATGACGTCACAGGTCAGCACATGCACTCGGGGAAGCTGCACTACGTGAGCGCGAACCCGGGCGGGGGTGCGGCCACGCTGTCGGGCGCCTCGAGCGTGTACTGCGTGCTGGGCACGCCGCCGCAGTGGCGCCGCTACTCGCGCCTGCTCTGGCGCCAGGGGCCCGCGTTGCTGCTCGAGGAGGTGGGCTATTCTTTTTTTAGGGCAAGTCCATTATGGATACTGGGGTTTCTGGTTAGAGAAGAACCAAGTTATGTCGGACTCCCAACGACTAAAGCTCTATGGTGGTCGCCAGCTGCGTATCTGCCCATTCGTGCAGCCGAAGCTATTGCGTGGCCCTACCGCGTTCACTTCATCGATTCTGATGTTTCTAGGTGCTATCGGCGCAGACCGTGTCGACCATCTACCAGCTGGGGCCGCACTACGTGGGCACCCTGCAGGCGCCGCTGCCGCCGGGGCAGGGCCAGGAGCCACTGCCGCCGCTGGTGGCCGAGGAGAAGGTGGTGTTCGGCATCAACGCCCGCGCCCTCTCGCAGCTCACCCTGGCCAAGATCCGCAAGGTGTACAGCAAGAACGACAACAAGGCGATAGCGAAGCAGCTCGGCATGTCGTCCCACGAGAACGCGACGCCCATCAGGATACTGCACAACTCCGCCGGCCACCTGATGGGCCCGGCCAGGTGTCTCGGCGGCACCGTGGTGGGATACCTGGGCGTCAGGGTGTTCTGCCCGAAGCCCGCAGCGATCATGGTTTGTATCTTATTTTTTTTTATTTCTTGTTCCTACTCGAATATGTATATATTTGTTAAATTAAACTGATTCACAGGTTTTTTCGCCTTTCCGGCGTTCATGGTCTGTCCCGTGACTATAGTTTCGTTTAACAACACTTTATTTTTTACTAAATTTTTAAGACTACCAAAGGGATAAAAAATAATACTATCTGATGGTCTCTTTGATTAATAGTAATAAGTTCTTTGATAAGATAATTAATTAAATAAATTTCGGTCTTGCACGTTATCTACTCGAACAGTATTTTGTAAACTATGTAACATTGTTCCAGATTGACACAGTTGGTGGCTGTTCAGTATTACTGGGTTTGATAGCAATGGCGCAGGATGTGGAATGCCTTTATGCTGGAGTAAAAGCCCTAGTGTGCGTGGTCCGCTCGAACAAAGCAGCGCAGGCGGAGATGGACCGCCGGAAAGGTTATCAAACACTCGCGATGCTCCTGAAGCGGAAGAAACAGCTGCTCAACTCGCACATATTGCATCTCGTGTTCGGATTGGTCGGGACCGTTGACAGTCAAAAAGAGACATCTTCCATTCCCAACTTGACGGCATTCCAGGTAAGATGCTAACATTACATTTTAATTCGAATTTATTCAATACTAGTGCGCCAACACCGCCCAGGCCTAGCACGGGTAGCACTAATAATTAAAAAATTAGCAGCCATGGGGACTACCGACAGAAGTTAAAACTTAAAGAATAACTGTGCTTTGTTAATTTTCAAATTATAATATGAACAATTAAAATCACGAAACACTCATTTAAAATTACAAAACACCTATTTTATATTGACAATTTAAACCAATAAACAATAACTTTTAGTAAGTAATTATGTTTTTTTATACAATGTTAAAGAATTCGAATTTAAAAATGCGCCACAAAAATACTATCGAACATCTAGAATTTGTATTTACAGCGATCAAATATTAAAAAGACCAAATGATATCAAAATTTTAACGTCGCCAACGTCAATGACAAACCACGTGACTTTAACATGTCGCTGACGCGAACCTATGAATTTTTCCACATCCAAAACTGCCGAGCGTGCCCATACAAGTTTCACTTCAAAAATGTCTAAAAATTTCGTTATTAGTCCTTGAGTCGATTCCCTATCGACAAAACACATTTTATTTTAACATATAATATAGGTTTGAATTGTTTTCTTTAACGTTTTGTCTAATTCATAACAGGACTTGATCTGCGAAATGGAGGTCTGGCTCGGCGCGCCGGGCGGACTAATAAAGTCCCTGCTCGAGCACCTGCTGGAGCTCGCAACGGAAACAGCGCACAGAACGCACAACCTGCGCACAATGCGGGAGCTACAACTGGTCTCCAAGCTCCTGTACATCATAAACGATGTGAAAGTCGTTAGCACGAAGAACGTACTCATCCAGCTGTTGGCGGCCCTCCTGGGCGGGCAGCCGCGGCCCAGCGACCTCCTGTGCCTCGGCCAGTTCATGGCCTACACCCTGCCGCTGCCGTCGCAGACAGAACAGGGCCTGAACCTGAAAGAGAGCGACTGCGAGAAAGAGAGCGAAGGCGATCAAGTCATTCTGCGCAACAAATGCTTCAATGTGCTCCACGGCCTGCTCTTCACCGCCCGGAACCTGGTCAACACGATCGTCTGCGAGGAGATATCGCGCGTGCTCGGCATGGACTGGCTACTCAGCTTCATGCAGGAGAATGTGCACCCGTCGACGGTTTTGTGGGCATTGAGGATACTCGTTATTTTGTGCTCGGGGCAGGGACAACCGTCTGCTATAATGCAAAGGTGATTTTGTCATTACAATGAAATGTGGGAAAAAAGCAAACGAGCTGGCGGTTCACCTGATGATAACCATTGACATTTGCAACAACCGAAGGGTTGCAGATGCGTTTCCACCTTATTAAAAGTGGGCCCCGGCCACCTCTCATCAGACGAAACAAAGAACTATAACACTTCCATTTCACGCTGGTCTTGGTGCAGTCCTGTTACTTACCCGAAGGGACCTACCCATTTATGCAACAGAGGCTGTTGTGTGACCCTACCACAGTCAAATATGTACATTAATTTGACATTGGTGCATTTGGTTTTATGTTGTGATGTATTCTTTTAAATTTATCTTACTTTCTAAATATGACTATTTTCTCAATAGATGGCTGTGTAATTCTACTAGAAGAGCGAGTTGAAACCCAAAAAACGTTCTCATCTCTTGTCAAAACAGCTGGCGCCAATGAGTTATTTTTTTAATTTCAATCAGGTTTTACATTTATTATAACTTTATTACGTAATTTTTTATCATTTTGATTCACATTTTTAATTGATTTTGAACTAAATTTCGATGAGCTAAAGTAGAGTAGAGTAAGCAACCTTGGATTTATTAGGAAATTTAATATCCAAATAAAATATTATTATGAACACGAATAGGTCTATTATTCCGTCAGTCTGTCGTTATTAACTCTAAAATATCTGTATCTTGTGAATCGTAAAGTTCAATCCGATTTAGCAATTTCGATTTTGTTTTAGGGTTTTATTTTCACACAAAAGACTTAGACCGAATCAAATGATTAATAAAATAAGTGACAACTCTGTCTGTTCTGTAACCGTGAACGCTACAAAGTGTTCGAAACTTCGGGAATTTAAAAAGAAAATAAAAATACGTAAAATAGTTTTATTTAAACAGATATTCATTAAGTTCCTAATAAAATGGTGGTATATAATTGGGCCCAAAAAGGAGATAGTTTGTTGGTCCCAAAGTGCTAATCATGGCTCGAGTTTATGTATCGTCTGCTATAAAGGACTACTATAATTTATTTTTTCTTTAGGTTCCGCGAGGGCGCCGGCAACGGCGGTTGGCTGCGGCACACCGAGATGATCGCGGCCACTCAGCAAGCCGGCGTGGTGCTCGCAACTACGGTGCATTCGCATTCGCACCTCCACACCGGCCTGTTGCACACCTCCGGCTTCACGCTGCTCACTTGGTAAATTGTGGTTACGTTTGGCTAGGGAACGTTGGCAGTTAATGTTTTTACTAATAGTTATCACCTACCAATCCTTTTAGCTGATTTTTCCCAATCTCCTGCCATAAAATTCGAGCTAGTTACATATAAATAGTTCAGACCAGTCGTTTAGGACGTAGATTGAAATCCGAACTGTCTTGGAATGTGTCATATTTCTATCAGCATTTTTAAATAAATTGTTGTCATTTATATGGAGATGTCAGGATTGGTGGTAGATGTTGCAGTTCACACCTAATATGCTGCTGCCACAATCAACCAAGGCCAAGATCGTGATTTCAAAAGTCAGGATAATTTCCCGATGCACTGTCAATGTCAACTTAATGTACTGTAATTCACTGTCAGTTCGTATACTGAACTAAACCACGTGTCCGATCCACTACTTATTCGTTTCCCGAAACTCGAGGTCTTGTCCAATAATCCGGCTTGAAGGACCAAAAAATGTGCTGGTAACCGCGTGTACCACCACACCTTAATGTCGATGTGGGATGGATAAGCTTATGTCAGTTGTATGGCGGTTAAGAAATGTCAAAATAAACCGACCGATGTCATTGAATGCTTTTACTGCACACAAATATATTAAAATTATAATTACGAACTAAAGTAAAAACTAGGTCGCGCATACGAGCGCTTGCAAGTGTCAATATGCCGTGTGCGCAGTTTTGCTATACAATGGAAAATGTACGACTTTGCCTGTACAATATTAAATGCAAATTAAATATTAAATATAAACTAAATTATATGTTATCGAAACTAGCCCACGCGGCATGGTGCCGAGAACGCTAGCTGAATTTCCCAGCTGAATATTTTTTCTTAACACTTATTGGAGGTCCTTCATCAGAGGGATGAGTTCACGGGGAGACGAAAAGATCGAAAGTCAATAGGTCCGAAACTAGTCGGTACACACACAGATTGGAAGTGCGATCGGCCGTTTATTATTGCGTTAATAATGACTCAAGAAAGTTTTAACCTTTTACACTTTTAATATACAATCGACGTTGTGTACCTGCAGGCTGGTGCTGTCGCACCTGGAGGTGCCCGAGCTGTACTACTTGCTGTTCGGGCTGGTGCTCGGGCAGCCGATGCGCAGCGTGAGCGCCGAGCGCGGCGTGTCCGTGGAGCGCGTGTGGGCGGCCGCGTGGGGCGCGGCGGCGCCGGCGCGCCAGTCGCCCGCCGCGCTCGCCGCGCGCATCACGCTCTGCGCGGAGCCCGTCGTCACGCTGCTGGCGGCCGCGCGCAGCCTGGCGCACGCCGAACCCGCGCCGCCCGAATGGCTCGCCGACCACCCGGTCGCCATAGTGCAGGCGAGCTGTTTTTTTCTTCTTTTTTATTTTGTCACGAACTGGCCTATAACCGTTTTTTTGTTGGCAGACTTCGCACCTTCGTAATCTTATTATTTAATAGTTGTAAAAAAATTCAAAATTCTTCTGTTAATTTTGCTCTTAAGATTATTTACATTAAAACATTTTGTTAAATATCTATCAACACCTTATGGACGTTTTAACAGGTCTTGTTTTCGCTGTACAACACATTGCCAGACTTTGTCAGTATAATGATGACCGCCGAAGTGCTTACCGCACTAGCGTCGACGCTCTTCCCACCAAACAGCTCGGACGATATCCATATGCGTGAGTTCAAAATACTTTTGAATAGTTAATTTTTCTTCTTAACCAAATATGTTATATAACAAGATATTGTAAAGAAGACTGAACTGGTTGTTAGTTTGTATGCAATGGCTATACTCTTGTAACTATTGACATGTCTTAAAGTAGTAAACATAAATCTCACGCGAACCCTGAACCGAAACAATTATCTTTGGGTCAATATACATTTAAACAGTAATGAATTTATTCCCAGCGATATGCGAGAGCGGCGACAGTTCCGGCGCATCGACGCCCGGCTCCGAGAAGGAGGTGATGGTGGCGAGCGGCGGCGCCCTCACCACCCACCCGGTGCGCGCTGGCGTCATGGACTTCCTCAAGGTCATCGTCCTGGACTCGCTCTCCCTCACCGTCACTGGGAAGACCTCGCCGGTACGTCCAAATCTACTTCGAATGTTCTAGAATGTATCCGCGAACGTTCTAGTTCAATACCCACGGGGGCGATGTTGTGTTCCCGCCGCTCCCAAGCCATTTGGGGAGTTTATACTTTTGGAACCGAAGTAATGGCAGATGTTAATTTTGTTTCATTAGCTTCTGATGTGTTAAGTTTGATTGTTTGAAATTTGTATGCCATTGCTATTATATCAACATTGACCTAGAATTGAATAAGCTTTTGATATGGATAATTTTAGGTGGAGCTAATAATATTTTGCGGCTAAATCTTCACTTATACCATAGGCCACAGGGGTCCATATAGATCACTTGGAATCTTGGTTGGCCTTGCCATCCACAAAACGCATGTTAATTGTCTTTTGAGTTGATTTTTAACTTATTACCCACATTCAATTCCTTTTTTTTTTCGCTTGGCAAAACAAATTATGTGAGATACGCCATGGTAATTGTGTTTTTTTATTCACGACATGGCCATGTCAATATTGAATAATTTCGGAAGGTTTATGTAGAAAAATAACACAATTGCACTAACCACTGACAGTCGGCCCAATAATTGATTTCTAGAGCGCCGCACCCGCCTCTGACACAGTGCCGTCTTCAATGTTTTGTACGCAATGCTCCGCTCCGACGCGATCATACTTTTATTGCGTAAATATCAGCTAAATTCATTGTTTATTACCACATGTACACGGAAACCGTTGCATGTGCATAAAAATTCGCCTGGTTGCGACTGCGAATAAACGTCCATATAAATGAAATTAGTTTGCCAAAAAAAATATCAATTTATATATAATACATAAATAGGCTGCGCTAAATCTTAATGCGTCTCATTGAAGTTGCCTCCTCGAGTTCTGCGAATGTACTGTCGAGTGCATTTGAAACTAGTATCTAAAATTTTGAAACTGAGCAACGTGTTTCGCGACTGTCCTACAAATTACTGTAGGAGCGAAACTTAAGTCGGTTTAGAGTTTTAGACTAGTGCGAAGGAGGGAGAAACTCGAACGGCTACGTGTGCGTTGAACTTCATGTGTTGCATTAAAGTTTCGCTCGCCCGTTTCGTTAGGTATTTGGATAAAATCAATGTTTTAAATCTACGTTTATTTTGTCTGTCTAAACCAGGTTTTTGCTTAAATTGCTCTTATATAAATAATCACAAGCTATGCTGAATCCTATAAAGATGTAATCGCTTTTACACTACATCTACTATAACAAAATTTTTTTGTTTCTTGTGATCATATTCGCCTAAAGATCGGCATAGATATAACCTTCTGAGATATAGTCTGCTCTTCGTATAGATTGGACTATATGATTTTTTTGCGCATTTACGTTGTAAATGTGATTTATTTTGATTGATTTATTAGTGACGCGGCTTAAATTAGGCTTCGAAATTAATCTAAATCATTAAATTATCGGGGTAGCTTAAACAATATCGTAATAGATTACAATAGTCCTGTAGTCCCGTCTTTTAGTCGACATTGACTGTTCACTGTTAATTCAGTGAAACGGAAATATGACTAAAGCTAATTATCCATTGCTATCGCATCTATGCAGTAAAAAATATATGTTGTATTTAAACTCTAACATCTAAAATTATATGTTGCATTTAAAATTTAAAATTTAATGCCATTGTATGTTGTAAATGTGACTAACGGCACGCAACGCAACTGAACGATCTACTAATATGGGACAAATGTCTCATTGCAAAAACTTTATATATTTATCTAAATTTTAGGTGATTGACCTAGTGCTGGACGCGTCGCCTCCTAATTCCACCAGTCAGCAGCAAATAGAGTACCAGACGGAGGTTTTGACAACTTTGATGGAGAACCTTCTGAGCACGGAGCTCTTCGGATCGGAGTCCAACATCTCCAACGTGTGCTACCTAGCCGCTAGGTTGGTAGACAAGCTGTGGCAGGGCCAGCTGTCGAGGGATCCTCACGAGGTATGGCCACTTAAGATATTTTCATTTAATAATATTACCATAGCATTATCGAATGCATGTGTAACATTTTGAAGGAAAATTTTGTTATGAAATGTTGTTAAACATCATTATTACTTGTAATAGTACTTAGTCCAATGCCATCACGAACAACGAGCATGTTAAAGAGACAGACTACGAACTAAGTTTTCTAAACGTCGGAAATAAAAACTTAAGTTTAATTAATCAATATAGTATAGTATTATTTAACAAAGAAGGTATGAAAGTCATTTAAGTAGAAAAGGAGAGTTTTGTGTATGAATGTAGTTCAAGGGTTTCAGGCTAGTGGGAGACCGAGAAAGGATTTGGGTGGATTGTGTGAAGAATGAAACGTCTGTGAAAGAAGTCAGTATTGAGATGAAGAAATTGGAAGGCAATGACATGTTGTTCCGACTCCAACTAGAGTAGGAAAAGGAAGTAGAAGTATTGTATAACAACTTAGAGCGTTTATTAATCTTGAACAATGTGCATTTCTTACAGGTGTTTGATTTCATTGTGAAGTTAGTAACTCAAGCCAAGAAGAAGTCATCAGTGATATCGCTTGAGGGCTTACATCATTGTTTGAATAGAACCATACTCTATCTGCTATCACGTTCCACCGACTCCATAGCAGACCAGATGTCCGTTCTCGAGGCGCTGCACAAACTTACTACTAATAGGTAAATTATTCTTACAAATTGCCCAAACAATATACAAGCATGTATGTACAGTCGCGTGCAAAAATCACAGATGCCGCTTAGTATAATACACAAAATCTTACCTAATAACACCAAATCAAGGTTCACAAAACCGGAAACACAACTGTACACTGAAACTGAAAACGATTTTGACGCCTCGAACGAGAAGCAATTCTCCTTTTGCGCAAATTCGACGCGCAACTTTGACTGCGCAATGGTATGGTTGCACATTAGAGGAATTTATTTTTTGTCACTTTAGATCCGATTGGCGTTATTGTTGTAACATATAAAAATGGCGTACATTAAGATTTATTAATAAAAATAAAACCGACTTGAAATCTACTCACTACATATTTTCAATTTGATTTTAAATAGTTCCCATATATCGTCGAGGTCCAAGGCAACAAAGGAATTAAGATAGTTGCACAACATGAGAGCTAAAATTAAACCAATCCAAAAAGAAAATTTTAAAATCGGCTCATTTATTCGCAGTTATCCGAGTTGAGAACCTAATTGCGAACCTTCTCCTTTTTTGAAATCGGTTGAAAAAGCGTTAAAATATATACAATAATTGCTACAACCGAAAATGTTACTATCGTTCTTGAGATATACACCTAACCCACTATAAAACATTTTAAATATATCAATTTAATTTCATCTATTTTTGGTTTGGGAATTTCAAATACTTCTCTTACGCTTACTCGTCAACAGATTGTTGATTTTCGGCGCCGGCAATCACGAGTTGGAGTTCATCGGCTGTCTCACGTACTGCTTGCTGCAGCTGAGCGCGAACATGAAGATCGCGCTGGACTCGCACATGCGGACAACTTGGCACGTCAACCCCAGCGGCGATTTGGAGTCGCGGGACGACAGGCTCACGTCCCATCAAGGTGCCTTAAGATTTAAAATTCATATGTGGGAAGAGGTAGCCTACCTCTTAGTTAGTTTAATATAAAAATACGCTTTACATAGCTTGCCGCATAGTCCTTTTATTTTTCCAGTCCGTGCATTTAATGTGCTTCGTTTGCAGCAAAAACGTATTTTTTTTAATGACCTGTTTACGATAACCATTTGGAAACCTTTTTTTTTTATAGCGGAATAATCAATCGAAGTAATCTAATCTTGTCCACATATTTTAAGTTTCCATTATACTTTATACTCTGAGATATTTCTCTACAGACAGTTTGTTACTGGCAGAGGCCTCTTTGTTTTGGTCGGTCTAAAAATTCAGACAACCTGTCACTGCTATTTTTGTTAAATATACTTCAGTGAATATGAATATTATAGATTTAATGATTTGTTATGCTGTTATTAATTGTTTAAAGCTACGGTAAATCTTTGCTTAGTGGTGCCTTAGTATCTGACTGACTCTCTTGCACGTCGACCTTTGGAAAGAGACAATTGGCTAATTTCGTAACGCGTCATCTCTATTACACAAGACTTGTGTATTTTAATCATTTGTTGTATAGATGTGCCAATCCGAAAACAGCCGATTGTCTCTTTCCAAATGTTGATGTGCAAAGTTTATTCGCGAGCACTGTACGCCTTAACGTATATTTTGTTTTACGTGTGAAAAGTAGTCAAGCGAGCTGGCAGTTCACCTGATGTTAAATGAATGCCACCGCCAAAGAGACATCTGCAACGCTTGTTGGCATTCAGATGCGTTGACATACTTTACTCAGCGCACTCACCAGTTGAAACACAGTTACATAATACACACTTCACGCGGTCTTCCGGAAGTCCGTGGCCCTTACCCGGAGGAGCGTGCCAATTCGAGCAGCAGCAGCTCTCGCGTGTGTCTCATTACGAAGTGGCGCCGCTTTGGAAGGTCGCAACCTGATGGCGGGCGCGGCGCGGCGCGTGTGGGAGGAGCTGTACGCGTGCAAGAAGCCCGCCATCGAGGAGGTGTTCAAGGTGACGCTGAGCGCGCCAGTGGGCAACGCGCGCGCCCCGGACCTGCCCGCCGCGCGCGACCAGCTCGCCGACGCCGCGCACCGCCTCTGGCTCAACTACCTGGACACCGAGCGCAAGGTCGACGACCCCCACCCTACCCCCACCCTACCCCCATCATAAACCCACACCCAACCCTCCCCCAACCCCACCCTACCCACACCCCACCCTACCCACCCCCACCCTACCCCTGCCCTACCCCCATCATAACCCCACACCAAACCCCGCCCCAACCCCACCCTACTCCCACCCTACCCCCGCCCTACCCCCACCGGTCCAAACGGTTCCAGCAATATCGTCATTAAGCACAAATAGAGTTAAGAGTTTTTGCAATGACGCACGCTGATCAGTAACCATTATCGCACAGATTGAACGTTTATAAATAACACTTAAATTTATAACATTAAATTAACGCCTTTTTTTTAAAATTCCTATTTTAATCAGGCCGTGTATAGAGTCCCGTGGGAGCTCCACAATCAAATCCAATCTAAGATACAAAAGGTGACCGGTGGGCTCACAAGGTTGGCGTCGAGGACTAAAGTCAAGAAGGAGGACTCTGCGAAACAAAGACCTCATCCACCACGTGAGCACGCCCTTGCTTATATGCAGGACCACGTTCAGTTAGTCAGGTACAAATTAACCCTAATAATTCAAATGAATATATTTTTGAACGATATTAATTTGTTGGGTCGTCGACCTTTGTGCACTTCAGGCAGGCGTGGTGCGTGCAGCTGCAGGCGGCGGCGAACACGGGCGCGCACACGACGCGCTACGTGCAGGCGGAGTGGGCGGGCGCGTGGCGCGAGCTGACGCGCGAGCGCGGCCTGTGGGGCCCGCCGCGCGCCTCGCCGCTCGACAAGTGGGCGCTCGACAGCACCGAGGGCCCGTGCCGCATGCGCAAGATGCTGCGCCGCAACCACCACTTCTACCTGCACTACCCCTACCGCCCGCAGCCGCACCCGGACGGCGTACGGATTTATATATTACTAGCTAGCTGATCTTTGTATAAATAGAGAAATAATGTTTCGATTCCCAGACCCACCAAATACTTGACTAATTATAATTACTAATTCAAATATGCGCCCGAAATAGACTTTGAACTGGAGATATCTCCAGTTCAAAGTCTATTTCGGGCGCCCTTTACTTTCTTTTTTTATTTAAAGCGGCAAGGGAGCTCACCCGATGTTGAGTAATAACCGCCGCCCAAGGACATCTGCGACACCTTATACTGATGTGACCCGTTCAGCTCGCTCAGAACACGAAAGGCAAAAAGTATAACACATCTTCTTCACGTTTGTCTCCTGTAAGGTCGTGGTACTTCCCCGGACGAGCCTGGCTATTCGTAAAACAGCAAAGCTAAACCGTTTACAGGCTTAAACATTCTTATAAGATGATATTTGTAAACCCTTTCCATATCTAAGAGCCCACTTGGTTGACCCACTTGTAGTTGTCTCATACGTTAGTCTCATAAATTCAAATCAATCTGCATCGAAATTTTTTACGAATATAATAACAATAAACTAACAAAATTTTCCTTATTATGCGTTTTTCTACTTCGTTAGTCATTTTATATATATTGGTAAAAGTTAATTTTTTATCTCCAGAAACAACTGAAGTACAAAGTAGCCCAGAGTCTCGACAGTAAAGAATATTATAGAGTATTCCAACAATGGCGGACTGCTGGGAACAGTTTAGGGGAAACAGACGGCATCGAAATGGCTGACATAGATATGTACAAAGAAGAAGTTACTAAGTTAGTAAATTAAGATGTCCAATGTCAATTTGTAATTATTGAAATAATAATATAATTGATTTCCAACATGTTAATAAACTTTGTACTTTTTTTTAAATTGCAGCAATAGAGACACCTCTCTTGACGTTACAAACGAAGAAGGGTCGCCCACAGGATCTGGTTAGCAGCGGCGTAGTCAGTCGCGGCAATAATCTCGCTTCTGGTGAAGGTAATTTTAATTAAGATTAATTTTAATGAAACTGTTGATTAATCCATTGTTTCATAGTCTATTTCAATCCAATTTAAACAACAGCAATGTAGCTTTGGCTTTTAAACATTGTGTCGACAGTTACATTCTATTTACGCCTTTTTTCTTCTTTACAAATGAAAAACCTTTGTATAGGTGTTTTGTGATGTTTACGAGTCAATTCTGTTATAAATTACTTTTTAATTAATGTAAAAAAAATCATTTCTATTTATTTATTTCGGCTAAACTGAAACCTTTATATTGATTTTTTTAAATCTTAATTTGTTTAAATAAAGTAGTAAAAATATACTTACATTTTTAGCCAATGAAGACGGCCCTGACGTTGAGGACGAGGATGAACAGCAATCTCCCCCACCCGATAATCAAACATTGCTGCGATTGTTGGAGCATCACGAGAAGGTATAACATATTCAAATGCTATTTTGTCTTACTGGTTGTACCACCCAAAAATTGGTTATGGTAAATATAAAATCGTCGAAAGACCTTTATATGAAACTGACGAACTCATCTTAGAGACCCAGTCTCCGAAGTAATACCCTACATACCAATTATGTCTAAGAGCTTTGGTTTCAGTTACATTGCTATTATCACTCTCCCATAATTTTCCTAGTAATTTTCATTTAATCCTGTATATCCAATTCAACGGAACGTTTCTCCCTACAGATCTCGCACATGTTCCGATGCGCCCGCATCCAGGGCCTCGACACCACGGAGGGCCTTCTGCTGTTCGGCCGCGAGCACTGCTACGTCATCGACGGATTCACCCTGCTCAAGAACCGCGAGATCCGCGATTTGGACAGCTGCCCAGACGACTACGAACCGATCCTGCCCAGCCAGGGCATACAGAGGAGCAACCAGAGGCAGTGCTCGAAATTCCTCTACGAAGACATTAGGTGAATTTTTTTACGAATAATGATAATATTTTATTTGTTTCGCACCGCGGTTTCGCATCTTATTGTAAGGATTACGTATTTTTCATTAATTTTGCGTAAAACTAATTTGATGAATTTTTTACAGGGAAGTTCATAAAAGGAGGTATTTATTGCAACCAATTGCCTTAGAAGTGTTCTCCAGTGACGGTCGAAACTATTTGCTTGCGTTCCCGAGGAAAGTGCGCAACAAGGTAATGCTGTTTTTGTTTTTTCGCATTTATCTATAAACTAAATGTAAATATTAATCTGTCCGAAATAATCTAAATAATGTAGGGTTTTATTTGATCTTTAAAATTATGAAATGAAATATTATTACTACCTTTCTTCTTTGCTTCATGAGTACACTTGTATAGTAGATAAAAAACAAAATATAAAATTTAACGTTTATAACACCCTATGTTCGTAATACATATTTTAGTAATATGGATCGAATCCACGCACCGCATGGTATACGTTCGCTATCCACTAAGTTAATCGTGTTGTATGTACACGTTTCGTATAGGTATCATTTGTGCGTGCAGGTGTACAGCCGATTCACCGCTCTGGCGACGGGCATGGCGGACAGCGCGGCCGGCTCCGTGGCCGGCCAGAAGCGAGGAGTGGCAGTGGAGCAGCCCGGCGGACTCCTCGCTACGCTCATTGGTGACACGTCCGTCACCCAGCGGTGGCTGGTGGGTTACAACGGGACATTGCATCTGCCACGGCGCTTTATGAAAAGCACCATCATCATTTAACCATTCACGGCCACGCAACAGTCTGTGCTGTTGCACGAATGGGCAGGTCCTTCCGGGGAAGTACCACGACCTCACAGAAAATCGGTGTTAGAGTGAGGTAACCAGGGTTCACTTTATTAACGGGTGGCAACGCATCTGCAATTACAGGTGTTGCAAATGTTCCTTGGACGACGGTTATCACTTAACATAAGGTGAACCGTCAGCTCGCTTGTCATCTTCTTACATAACAAATCATCATCCTGCTGCCCTTAAGCCACCTAGTTGGGGACAGCACAACATGTGTATCATGTTGTAAGTTGATTTGCTTAATATTTTTATCGTCCGACCGCCTTTGAGGAACCTCCTTGGGAACAAACACCCAGATCTAGAACAATTATCTGTGGGTCACACAAATATTTATCCCGCATGTGAATCGCTTACCAACTGCGCCACGGAGCAACTTTAGTCATGATGGATGCAGGTGACTCAAGATTATGCTTCATGGCAGTATGTGGGGGAGGCATATGTTCAGCTGTGTTGAACAGGTTGAAATGATAATGACGATGAAATTATTTAAATATAAATGCTATTTAACAGGTGTAACTTCAACTTTGTAAAAAGTAAATAGGTATTACTATTTTTGCGGCACGAATATAGCGCCAATATTTTTGTTTAGGCAATCGTTATTTTAACATAACTATTAATGCAATAATATTATTTTTTTACAGAGGGGCGAAATTTCCAACTTCCAATACTTGATGCATCTGAATACGTTAGCCGGAAGATCGTACAATGATCTGATGCAGTATCCCGTGTTTCCCTGGATACTAGCCGATTACGACTCGCTTGAGCTGGATCTGACAGATCCCGCGACGTTCCGTGATCTGACCCGACCGATGGGCGCTCAAAGCCCTGAGAGATTGGAGCAGTTTAGAAAGAGATATAAGGTGCTAAGTTTTAAATTGTTTTGTAAATATGATAACAATATACAGAAATTTTTAGTGGTATACACTAAATTTTTAGTAGTAAACGCTACTAAATATTCTGTGTATCGTTAGCGAAAAACCGCTACGGTTTCTTTATTGAATTCTGTAAGTTATTCTTGTGCCTCTTACTACAATGCTTATGAATTAACAAATTTCCTACGATGATACAGTGTTAAATTAATTTAACACTGGAAAAAGAGTTTAATTCTGTCAGCTTCTCAAAAAGGATTCAGAAAGTCTAAATACAGTAAAGCTACGAAAGATACGATAATAGTAGTGTTACAGTTCTGTACGTACTTTTGAATAGTTATGTATGCTTTAAATACATAAAATATTAAAACTTCACCAAACGCAAAATCGTGGGTTAGCCAGAATGTGCGAGCTAAATAGCCCTGTTATTTTTTTAGTGCCTGTGTAGATACAACTCAAAATTTTTCGCCACTGCTAGGATTCGAAACGAGTTCGCGCGATTAGAATGCTTAGCTTAGTGGCTTAATCCCCTGGATACGTAATCGGGAAGGTGCAGGATGGAATCCTGACAGTGGTGAGAATTTTGCGACAGGTTCATGTACACATTTTTGAGTGATTTTTTTTCTCTTTTTGTATAGGAATGGGACGACCCTCACGGCGAGACGCCGCCGTACCACTACGGCACCCATTACTCGTCGGCCATGATCGTCTGTTCGTACCTGGTGCGGATGGAGCCCTTCACGCAGCACTTCCTTCGGCTGCAGGGCGGCCACTTCGACCTGGCCGACAGGTAACCACTAATCGCTCGCAGGACTTTCGAAGTTTAAATAAAACTCGATACGGGCACAAAACAATAAAAAATTTTAAAACTTTCAATCATCATCATCCATGGTCGGCCCGAGAACACGATCGGCCGCCAGACGTCTACCCTCCTTGGTAACAAACACGTAGATCGCAATTATTTGTGAGACACACAAATGCGTGTACCGTGTGGAAATCGAACCCACGACCTCTAGCGCCTAAGTCAATAGCTTAACAACTGCCACCACCGAGTCACAAAAATAATTTTAATAGATTACATGACTACAAAAGTAATAAATAAAACCTATTTTATCAGAAACTTGTTGAAATAATTCTTTGCAATGTTGCTATCTATTACGAGTATCAGCAGGCTAATCTAATTGACCATAATGAAAATTAATGTTTTTCGCATAATAAGTCATTTGATCATGCAGAAGTTGTATGTAAATAATTATGTGCATATAGTTAAATATTAATGTTTGTCCCTCACAGAATGTTCCACTCGGTAAAAGAAGCTTGGAATTCAGCATCGCGTCACAACATGGCCGACGTGAAGGAATTGATTCCCGAGTTTTTCTACTTGCCCGAGTTCTTATTGAACTCGAATAATTTTGATTTGGGTGAGTCTATCTGTTATTCTTGTTTCCAAGATTTTACGACATCGGCTATTTGATTATACTAACTGATTATTACCGTGTCTCAGGTGATTTAACAAAATCCAAAATGTTAAAGCAGATTATTTTCTTAAACCATAAATTCAATCATGATTTTTGGGTAACTCCAACCGACATATGAGCTTGGTTCTTTGTATTAACAGCATGTAAAATTACTAGACTGAACTTATCCAAAGTTCAATCTAGTAATTTAAATGCTAAAGCATTTGGCAGAAGTCTTCGTGTGTTCGATCTGGCCGCGAATTTGGCAATCTTGTCAATTGTCATAGTATTGGGTTGACAGCATTGCATAAAGGATATTAACGCTGTTAGCAATCTAACTATAAACACATTTGGTTTTTGAGTGTGAACATATTATAATCGTGCATACAAACAAGTACTTTTGTGAAATTTAACCTCAAGGAAACTGGACGAAAAACATTCAGTCCCCAAATGTACAGGGCAAATTTGTCAATAGTAAGTCGTAGCCAAATTGAATGGTATTGAATTTCTGTCCAAAGCTAGCTCGGCAAGAAAAGAAATACTAGTTATTAGTAATTACCTCAAATGATTAAACCTAAAAAAGAGATGACAATTTAACTGGATATGTGACGTATAATCCACAATCAGTTGATAGGAACAACAGTTTGTGTCCGGGTCTGTGATGTCGGATTTGAGAAAAACACAGGTCTTTGTAAATTTATGTATAATTTTCTTGTGATTTCAAAATTTATTTAACTATATTTTTCTGTCTTAATACTTTTTGTGATTTTTTATAAACTTTTTCAAACGAGCACTCTCTTCATATTTGCTCTCTGCCTCTGTCCAGAGGAAACGGACTTCTTAGTTTTTACTGTTATAGTGCACATTATGTCGGTGTTCATTAGACAAACAAATAAATACTTGGGCAGTTTTCTGACGTTGGTCGGCACGCGGCAGGTTGCAAGCAGTCTGGCGTGGCGCTGGGCGACGTGGTGCTGCCGGCGTGGGCGCGGGGGGACCCCCGCGAGTTCATCCGGCTGCACAGGGCGGCGCTCGAGTGCGACTACGTATCGCACCGGCTGCACCACTGGATCGACCTGGTCTTCGGCTACAAGCAGCAGGGCCAGCCGGCGGTGGACGCCTTCAACGTCTTCCACCACCTCTTCTACGAGGGCAACGTCGATATATACAAGTGGGTCCATACGCGCATTTCTATCGTATTGCAGAAGACTTCTTGGCGCGGTTGCCGAGGTGTTTGTTTCGGCATCAGGGGTCGTGGGTTCGATTCGCACAGGAGAAAACTATTTCTGTGACCCACAGATAATTCTTCCGGATCTGGGTGTTTGTCGGGAAGACTACATTAGATCTTCTAGGTCGCAATGGTCTTTTGGACAACTCTTTCAGCTCAAAATACAATACAATACACGCATACTCAGTACGATGTTCGCTTTTCTTTAGCCTTTTCTTTTTTCGAAAATGTTAGTAAAATTATAAGCGTATAAGGTCTAACAACAAACGTTGACAAACCCCAAACGTTGTGTTCTGTAAATGCTAGTAGAAATAGGAAACCGCAAATCTCAATAGAAAACCGCGTGTATTCTTTAGATTCTTCTTATAAAGAAAGTAATGTAGATTATAGTTCCTGAATTTATTTTTAATACTAGTAACAAAAGTACTCGTTTTCAGCATTGACGATCCCTTGAAGAAAAACGCTACGATCGGCTTTATAAACAATTTTGGACAAATACCGAAACAGCTCTTCAAAAAAGCACATCCGAGTAAGAAAATGTCTCAAAGAAGTTCGACTATACTGGATCCAAACAATATAATTCCTTCACAAGGCATAACACCGCCCGAAAAATTATTCTTCCACAATTTGGAGAATCTTAGACCTTCTTTACAACCAGTAAAAGGTAATTTAAAATTTATGTTTTTTAACATTATTAATAAAGTCAGTAGTAGTAGCAGTTAGCACTTTTGCTATTGAATGTTATTGAATTAGGCAATTTTGTCATCATATGAATCCAATAACTTTGTTTATACTATAACAATGAACGAAAGATGGGTCCCCAAAAATGGGAAAATGCGACTTTAAACAAAGTGTTGGTAGAAAATTTACCAAGGGGATGGAGAAGATGAGGTTGTGATAGGAAGGCTTGGAAGAAACTAGGGAGAGGCCTATGTCAACTGACAGATTAACAAACAAACTGTTTGCTGATAATAATTTACTTTGATTTATGAATAGGCTTTCACCTTATGTCATAATAAATCGTTTATTTGTCTAAACCAACATACAGAAAATATATGGAAGAAAAGTAAGAGAAATAAAACAGCAATAGTCCAGTACAGGACTCAAAGCTATAGCACCGAATGTATTTTTTAAACCAGTCTCTTAAAAACCTCTACACTAACTCTGATATTATGTCCTATCCAGACATAAGGTTAATAAAGGACACGCATAAAATGGGTACACAAAATATTGTTATATTTACGATTATTTAAAACACTGGGTATTGGTAACCGTGTGGTCATCCCATCGCAGAAGTGAAGGGCCCCGTGGGGCAGATCCTGTACACGGAGAAGGCCATACTGGCGGTGGAGCAGAACAAGGTGCTGATGCCGCCGTCGTACAACAAGTACGTGGCGTGGGGCTTCGCGGACCACTCGCTGCGCGTGGGCAACTACGACAACGAGCGGGCGGTGTTCATCTGCGAGGCGGCGGCGCAGGCCTGCGGCGAGGTGGTGGCCTGCGTCTGCCCCTCCGCCAAGACCATCGTCACGGCTGGCACCAGCACGGTGCGTATGACAATATCTATACAGATAAATAAAATTTGAGTGTCTGTTTGTAATATTAAAATAACCTTTTTTTACTAAATGCATATGGATGTACATACGGTAAATTTTTTTACAATTTTTGTCTGTCTGTCTGTCCGTCTGTTTGTTCCGGCTAATCTCTGAAACGGCTGTACCGATTGGGACGGGACTTTCACTGGCAGATAGCTGATGTAATAAGGAGTAACTAAGGCTACTTTTATTTAAAATTCCACGCGGACGAAGCCGCGGGCACAGCTAGTATACCAATATATACCGCCTCCTCCGTACAGAGGGAATTAGAGCATATTCCTCCGCGCAACCCCACTGCTGACTTCATGTATCTTTAATACATTTTTTTTTCGATATACTTCTTTTGGCGCATTTGGAAAAAATATGGGAGTAAAATTTTTATGATGAGCTTCATTATACTCGAGCAACCTGAGTTCAAGTTCCGGTGCCAGTACAGATGGAATTGTTAATTTTAAGTGATGACGACTCATCAGGTGCTCAGCGGTGAAGGATATGATTATAACAAAAACATATTTCAAAGATATATGAAATCTGTCAATCCGCTGTGGGGTCCGATGGGGGACTGTGACCTAATACCCTCAGTACAGAGGAGGCCTATGCCCAGCAGTGGAATATGTTATAGGCTGTTACTATACTTTACTTTTAGTTAACTAATAGCATAATACCAGATCCACATGTATTAAGTAGCTGTAATTCTGAATCTATTATTAATTAAAAATAATGAATCCTCCGCAGGTGGTGACCGTGTGGCAGTACTGGTCGCGCCGCCGGCGGCTGGCGGTGAAGGTGTGCCTGTACGGGCACGAGGAGGCGGTGACCTGCCTGGCGGCCAGCCCCGCCTACAACCTGGTGGTGAGCGGCAGCCGCGACGGGCAGGCCATCGTGTGGGACGTGGAGCGGGGCGCCTTCGTGCGCCAGCTGCTGCCACCGCACCGGCACGCGCCCCACCCGCCCGTCTCCGCTATCGCCATCGACGACCTCACGGTACGGCCGGCCGCGTTCCTCGACGAGGTGGCACCGGGCTATGTCTTCATCAGACGCAACAGAAGTTTTAGGATTTTTTTTTATTTTGTTATTTTTATATGTGCTTGTCTCTGCACTCAAGATGAAAATTTAAATTGTAAATTTTCGCAGATAAATGAACAAAAACTTCCGGTGCGGTGGATTCGAACCTGCGTCGTCTGGAAGCTGTACCAACCAAGCTAGCGAAAATGCAAAGGGAAGACCTTAGATAGATGTCGAGATTTTCACGCCGCTTCATCATCGGCCGCTTAGCTTAGTTGGTAAAGCGTCTGGACCCGAAATCAGGAGACGCTGGTTCGAATCCGTAGCACCGAAACTTATTGCTCATTTATCTACAAAAATTTACATTTTAAATTAAATCAACAATAGTTGCATTAAACATTCAAACAGGGAGGGAGAGAGACAGAGTTTGCGTGATTTAAAAGCGCCGTGAGCTAGGAGAGAAGTGAGATTCGAGTTAAACTCTACGCCTGTATCGTCTAAGCTAGAATATCATAGTGTCTAAGAAATACAAAAACACCGAAGCGTAGTGGTGGCATGATGGCATACGACTGGGAATGAACGAGAGGGAAATATCCTCTCATCATAACTGCATGTAGCCCGTGTGTTGCTCAATGTCCTGAGCTTACTTAAAAGGCTCATCAAATATTGCACTAGATATACGTACAAATAACCAAGTCGTGGTTTCATTGCAGGGCGACATAGCGACGTGCAGCGGCAGCTGGCTGTACGCGTGGTCCATCAACGGCGTGCTTCTGGGAACAGCGGACAGCTCCTGCGGCCGCGAGCGAGCCCAGCAGCTGCTCTGTGTTGCCTTCAGCCAGACGAGGGAGTGGGATCCCCTCAACGTCATCATCACCGGCTCCACCGACGGCGTCGTGCGGGTACACTTACGTCATTTACGTCCGTACGTGGCATACGAGCGAGGGGTCCACCCGATGCTGACTAAATACCATAATAGTACCTAATACTAACTACGGCAAGGCACGCAATAGTCTTCGCTGCGGCACATTTCTACATACTTATCCGGATGTTACTATGAAAATATGTAAAACCCACGTTAATAATAGTAATTCTTAACTTCGCAGATGTGGTCAATTGACTACGTGGCTGAGACTCCTGAGGAAGAAAATCAAAGCCTTGAAGTTGGTGTTGACGCCATCACGGGCTCAATGGAGGAGGGGAGTGAAGTAAAGAAAGAAGATCAAACTATTTCTACTCAGGAGAGCGAGGTCTCGGTTGAAAGTGAAGTGAAATCAGATGGTGAGACAAAGGCTGAGGGTATTGAGTCTAGCAAGAGAGAGGCGGCCATCAAAAGGGTAGAGGAGTTAGTAAAGCAGATGAGTCTGTCACAAGAGACTGAAGGTAATAGTCAAAAAACCGTCATTTATGGCCCGATTATAAAAATTCTTCTTGCATTGGGTTTGATGTAGTTTCCATGTGGTCCGACCATGGATTCCGAAGAGACTTTAGAGAACTAAAAATCAAATAGAAAATGTTATTGAGTGAGATGTGTATGCTTTCGTTCATAAGACCAATACTTTTTCTAAGCAGCATATATGTTAAAAAGTTATATATTTTTCCGGTGCATGATCAACAGGCTAAAAACTATTAACGTTTCGTTTTAACCGCACAAAGTTCGTGAAAGGACAAAATCATGTACTATTTTTATATTAACCCTATTTATAATGGAAGACTAAAAATATTTACCTTATACTTATTTATAACCATTCGGAACAGGTCATCTAACAAAGTCAGCGTCTGAGAGTTCACTGTCGGACGCGGGCGAAACAACCAGCGCCAAGGAGTCTGCCCGCCGCCACGAAGAGAAGGACACTTGCAGCGACAACGAGGAGCCCTACTCCCCCCAGCCAAAGCCAGATGCAGTCGACTCCAGCGAGGAGACAAAAGAGGGGACCGAAGACCCTCAGAGCGGCGAAGGGAGCAATGGCTCCGAAGACCCTCAGAGCGGAAAAGGGGGCAAGGGCTCCGAAGACCCCCAGAGTGGCGGAGAGGGCAAGGGCTCCGAAGAGCCTCAGAGCGGCGATGAGAACAAAGCTGACATCATGCACAGGAGCAAGCTGCAGAAGCAGGGCAATGTCGTGCTGAGGCGAAAGTCCAAGGGGAATCTGTTGTATCGCAAAAGTACGCCTCTTTGATCTCTTTACTTATAAATAGTTTTACTTATACTTAGAAATTGCTCTTTACTTATAATTAGAAATTGTAGGAGTACAAGCTCTGATATCCGTGCCGCGTTAATTCTCAAATAAATCATCTGAAGAACTGCTAGAAGAAGCTTTCTTAGAAATTATTTTATTACTTAAGAAAGAAAAATATATTGGCTTTGTACAGTTTAGTAGTCATAGAACACATTACTTCTGGTATTATTTATCTCGTATTATTATTTCTAGGGTGACGGATAGTTCGGACGGCACCTGATGGACCAATGGACCACTTTATGGCGTACAATGATTATAATTTTTTACTTATACTGAGCACTTATCGCGGCCCCACTTTTCTTGTGCTCGTTATAGTACTTAACACTCTTTTCCTTTTTTGCACAGCATTGTAAACAACTAATAAAGTAGATTTATATCATTAAAAAAAAAAAGAAAAAAATAGCTATAACTATTGTGGTGTATACTAGGCAAGTATGTCTTATAGTTTATTCATTTCTATTACCATATCTATGAAAGAGCATTTTATGTAAGTCGAAAAACAAAAGAATAACAGTTCACCACGCTGATAGAAGTGTCCAGAAACCGTACAATGTTATAAGTGTTTGGCTCATTAGGGTACTTTAATATTGCAGAACAACCCTTAGTATTCAGCCGGGTGATAAGAATACGCGATCGCAATAACACCTGGGAATGACTCACTTCCAAGCAATTTCTAAAAAAAAAAAAAAAAGTTTTTTTTTAGAAATTGCTTTAACATTTGAATGTTTTAAGAATTACAAAAAAGAGCATACCTAACGGCGTTTCTTTCGCTCGTTTGTTCTCCGTTAGAGAAACCTGAGTAAGAGAAAGTGGTAGATTTAAAAAAAAAATACTATTAATAGATGAAAATGTACGTTTGATGATTTTGATTATGCAGGCGGCGGCAGCGTGGGCGACTCTAGTGAGTCGGGCTCGCTGGAGGCAGGCACCGGCGAAGGGGAGTCGGGCCTCCGCACCAGCAAGTCGGACACGAGCCTCAGCGACTCGTTCGTGATGCTCTCCGCGCCCGCCTCGCCGGCGCCCCCGCTCCCGCCCCACCACTCCCCCGCGCCCCCGCCCCAACGAGACGCACTCGCTGGCGAGGATGCTGGTACGCGGCTGGGGAAAGATTTTATTATTTTTTTGTGTTATAATGACCACATTAAAAACCATCAGGCTCAAACAAGTTGAGAGAGCCATCTACCAAGACGATAGATGGCTCACTCGACAGGGGAGAGTATTTTTTTTATTTATAAGGTGGTAGATGACTATGTGGCGCAATTACTAAGCTATTGGATTCAGTGCTGGGTTCGTGGGTTATTTCTGTGACCCAAAGATGATTGTTCCGGATCTGATGAATATGCTCGGCTTGGTTATTAATTATTTTGGATATTAGCCATTAACAGCATGATTCATACGTGCCAATCCCATCTAAGCGGAATGAAAAGTATTAAACATACAGTTCTGCAACGTCATGTTGATGTCTCCGAGGTTATAGGCTTGGACGCCGGGGTAGTGGATTCGATTCCCACACGAGACAACTGCTTGTGTGACCCACAGATACGTAAGGGGCAAGTCTCCCCGACTGCAGTACATTGCAGTGGTCTTTGTTAACAAAAAATACCGACTTCAAACCGGAAACTAAAAAAACATTGTTAATACCTAAAACATTTGAGGATTGCCCTTGATTTATTTGAGATGCCATAATCAGATCTGGGTTTCCTTCTCATGGTACCGCCCTTGTGATATCTCCTTTCCGTCAAAACATGAATCATCAAAATCGGTTCATAAACGACGAAGTTGGATAAAAGGCCTCCTCCTTTTTTGAAGTCGGTTAAGAACACGTCATATCCACAGAGAGCAACGTGACCTGGCGGCGGCGCCTGGTGTTGCGCGGCAAGCTGACCATGCACACGGCATACGAGCGGCGCGACAACGCTTGCCCGGCGGCCGTCACCGCGGTGGCGGCGGCGCGCAGCGGCAGGGGGCTGGCGGTGGGCGATGCGCGCGGACGGGTCAGTACCAATGCCCATCTGCACCTCATGCCGCTGAGGTACGGTGGTGACTTTTTGAAGTGAAACTTTAATGCGACCTCCAACACCATTGAGGGGAAAGCACTGTCGCGTCAAACGCTCAACGCTCCTGGAGAGGAGAAATCGAAAGAGACAGAGCGAGAGTGCGGAGGGACTTCGCGCACTTTTTTTATGTGAGAAAGTGGCAAACATCGATGGACGCAGGTTCAGGATTGTTTTTCGTGGCAGTCTATGGGGGAGGCCTATGTTCAGCAGTGGACTCGCACAGACTGAAATAATGAATGATGATGAAGGTGAGGTTAAGTGATAACCGCCGCCCATGTACATTTGCAAGGACCCGTAGGCTCGCAGATGCGTTGCCACCTTTTGATAAAGTGGGCCCCGGCCATCTCACTCGCCAGACGAAACGTAGAAGTGTAACTACTTCACGCCGGTCTTCTGTGAGGTCGTGGTACTGACCCGGACGGACCTGCCCATTCGTGCAACAGCGAACACTGTTGCGTGGCCCTACCACAGTTAAAAACGGTACCTCCACATTTTTCAAAATTACTTTTCTTACAACATTAAAATCGCAAGAACAAATCCTACACAATAGTATAAAGCATTAAGTCCTACGACGGCTAATTAATAAAATATCCAATCGTATTTATGACATCATAGTAATGCATTCGAGAATTCACTCATGCCCTGTAAAATTTGTATTTTGTCACCTAATGTCACTGTTTCTGAGTAATCGGGACCGAAGGATGACAGAGTTGAAAATTGACAATTTATTTGACAATAGCATTGTTGTTTCCCATAAAAGTAAACTTTGAAAAGTTGAATGGGGTACAAGTTCACGTTGATTAGATGTTATAATCCAAGCGCGCTTTGATCACAGTTGTCACGATGATAATAGCGTCGAAGCAGTCGAATCTTTTTTTTTGTAAGAATACTGATTGTGCCAATGCTGTTTAAATAATTGTCAAAAATATAAGTTTATTATTCTTATAAACATTTCTTCTCAAATTAACTTGTTAAATAAAAACAACTTTCAGATATTCCGTTGGTCGGCGCCGGACATGTCTAGCGCATCGGGCGCAAAGGGTGGACCCGCTGATCACTGGATACGCGACGACACCGCCCCATTTTGTACACAATGCCAGGTAAATTACAAAAAAGATGAATACGTTTTTATACACCTATTAAAATTGATTGATGACGTAGCGTGATATATGCGTTAGAATAAATATATAGAATATATGTATCATAAGTAAACCAACCATGTAAGACATCTAAGTAAAATTAAATCCATTCAAAGTGCAACAGTAATAAAAATCTGCAATAAAAAGTGGGTTTGTTTTAAATGTACCATTTCTGTGAACACCGACTCCCAAAAAGTGACATGATGAAGCAAACTTCACGGCATTACCATAGCAACCAATAACAGCTTTTTGACATTTACCTATAATTCAAAGTTATTTAGAGAAACCGTTATAAATTGCATCTAATGTCTTTACGTCCGAACATAATAACATATATATTTTAGGATACATATGCGTTTTAGCTTTCCGGTTCGGTTAAGTTATTGTATATTGCTCAGGTGCGCTTCACGGCGCTGGAGCGTAGGCACCACTGCCGCGAGTGCGGCGCGGTGTTCTGCGGCCGCTGCTCGCGCTACGAGGCGCCCGTGCGCCGCCTACGGGCGCTACGACCCGTGCGCGTCTGCCAGCGCTGCCACGACAACATACACTCCAAGCGCGAATAGAGGTCGTCCATTATTCACGTGATGTTATTAGTCATTTTTTAATCTCCACCCCTCCCCGGCGACCTACCTACCCACTTTTTAGAGGTATTTATGTATCTTCAACATTTTCGAATATTTTCTTTAAATTACAGTTAAGTATAATCTAACTTTAATTCTGGATAATGAATAATTAAGGACACAGACAGGCAGAGATTTTTCTCTGTCGGGCAGGGAAATCGCTGCCTGGCGGCGAGCGGCGAGTCAAGTTCACACGCCGCTTTTCAGTTTAGAATTCGCGCGTTCAACCAAAAAAATAAATACACCTGATATCTCATTGCATCCCCTTCCCTTGTGATATTTGTTGATTTTTGGACTCAAACTCCCGCTTTCGAGCCTCACGTGATTAATGGACGAACTCTAGGGCCTTCCTGCCGCCTGCCACAACTCCACCACAACTCACCGCACTCGGTGCTACGCGGCCGTCGCTACTTCAGTTTACCTGTTGAGCGTAGCACTACGCGGCACACTGCTATCGTGAATTGGTAATTTTTTTATTGGAATTGAATGCAAACAGTAAATGCGCATATTTAACTCAATATCAGCAAGATTAACCTTCTGAGAAGACTTATTTTCAGCAGTAAGTCCATAGGCCAAATATATGATAAGAAAACATTTTTATTAGCGAAATAAGATACTGTTTCCTACACAAAAAGTATAAATTTATATAGTAGATAATTCCGCAAATAGGTTCGTATTGCAATACTTATATGGTGCAATGCATTTATGCAACTGATTGTTGCACAACAACAAAAATTAAATACAAAAAGTGCTAAGTTATACGCCGAACCAAATTAGAGCAATTGGGTTTTATTTATTTATTATTAATGTTATATTATTTAGTTGCAAGTAACAAGTTGAGACTGTGTTACTATAATACATTATTTTGGCAGTCTTTTAGCTCTTTATAGATATTTTAGTTAATCAATTTACATAAAATGTAAATGTATATTTATTAAATTTTACTACTGCCTGTGCTTGTTGAACAATTTTATTAAAAGTAAGCTTACATGGTAATTTTGTAGACATCAAATATTTCCTTTCAAATAAAAGCAAATTGTATGTTATTGAAGGCGAATTATTGTTCAAATAACCCATAACTATCCTATTTAAAAAGATTATATAAAATTAGAGTAAAGCCTCTTCAGTTATCAGAAATTGTGACAAAAACAGCTATAAAAATATCTAAAAATGAAACCATAACTGCTATGTCTAATCATATATTTATACAGATAAAGACGAAAATATTACATTAAATAATTAAAAAGACATTCAACATTAAAATGTAATATGTTAATGTTTGTAGCATTTCATAATGTGTTCTGTGTGTTTTGATTTATAGGTTTGACAAGGTTTCAATATAATAGTAGTGTATGTTAATACTGTGCTTTAATTGAACATTCTCAATCTCTATGTGTAAATGTTGTAATATTCCATAGGTAATGAATTAGTATTTCCCAATTGGCTTTTACTTATTAAAGAATATAAAAAAAATGATATATATATATATAGTAGTAACAGAGCCATTGCAATATTTTGCTCTCATTTATTTTGAATGAAATGTTTTACGTTTACTGGAAATTTTTAAGATATTACTTATTATTCAATTAGCGTCTTCGAATAATATGCCGCGCTTTATTACTATTAAATTAATGTAAGTAACATTTGGCATCTGTATGTAATAAATATACAGATTTCCAATGATTTGATTCTGTTTTTAAATTATTTTTTGTATCAGTATATTTTGATTCTTAATCAGTATTAATAAAATAAGAATTAAAGGTATTAACAATAAAATAATTATAGATCTCATCACATCAAATTTTAGGATAGTTTAAGCTTTATACTATTTTTTGTTTTGCTTCTATGGTCGCACCATGTCTGAAGGAAATAAAATTTTTATTCTTAGAAAAACTTCAGTTGTAGTGAAAAATGTGATATTTTTTAAATTCAATGTTTAAATATATACACCGTATATAAAAATACAGCAATGTAATAATCTGATTATATTGATATTATCTTGTATGATAACAATAACTATGTTTACACTAGTCATTGCTTATTTAATAATTCCTCACATCCATTTATTAGCTAATGTACCAAGGATAAAAGAAGCAAAAAATTATTAACTTTATATATTGCACCTATTTATGCAATTCAGGCGACATTCCTAGTCTAAGCTGTTTCCCAATGAGTATTCATTAAATTCATAGTACCAAAAGGAGGAGTAGTATCTCTTAAGTTCTTAAATTAATTAATGCATTCTTATTTAACAAGTCATATTCTGTGAGGTTTATAATTTTTGGAACTTGAATTTATTATTTATATTGCCTTTACATTATTATTACTATATAAATCATAATGTTTATTGTTTAAACAAAATCAATTGAGATCATTTTCTAATTGCTAATATTAAAAACAATTTCACACATAATATAATGAAATCATGCAAATTCCAGCTCTTTTTCCAGCAAGTTTTGAATGTGAAAAATTAGCTGGAAATTTGCAAACTCATTAAAGAGTGCTAGTATATAATGTTTTAAAACAGCTTTGTTCAGATGTTTGTGTCTCATAGGATAAGAACTAAGTATTTTATGACAGCATAAGTGGATGTTTTAGTCACCTGAACTGTATAGAGGATAATTTACAGACAATATATACTTTGTTTAGGTAGTATGTAGGCACCGAAGTTTATGCAGTTAATTAATATATTCGTGTATAAATAATCAAATAAATTGGAGCAGCAAACCAGTGTTTGATTTTTGCTACTTTGTTCACATCTACCTGAACGCCATCAGTTTTTTTATAAAGGGTCAGCAGACGTTTTATGGAAAACTGATTTTGTATAACTTATCTTCTATCATCAATCAATTTAGTCATGCAGTACACATTAAAAAAAATACACATTTCAACTAAACATAATATTTATTATTCTCGGTAATATTTGAACTCTCGTTATCTAAAATATCTACATTATATGCCCTGATATTTACATGATTTGATTTAATTTAGACAATAATAAAATCATTGTAGAATTTACAAAATCAACACCCACCAACAATTTAGATTAACATGAATGTTACATTAAGTACAACATGTCCAATAATATAATTTTTAAACTGGGAAAAGTACATGGAGTAAATGTATTTAATATACTAAGTACTTAAGGAGTTTACCTTAGCTTCTAAATATTTATGTACTGTTTGCATAAATACACGATTTTGAAAGTTACATATAGTGCTTTATATTTGTGTGCCATTAACATTTATTATATAGAAAATGCTGCTTACATAAGCTTTCTTTACCTTTTATGGTTAATTAATTTTGTTCAATATGTAATTTTAACAATAGATAAAATAGTTTCTTAATAAATTCACAGACATAAAAAGTACTTTTAGTTAAGATTTAGCAAATGTTGAGAAATTACTTAATTATAAACCGTCTGAGAAATGGCTTTTATTGCAACAATATTTTAAGTACCATTTTTTATTGTAAGTACAAGTGCAATTACTAATTACATTGGTTAACAAAAACGTTTTAAATATTGAGTTTGGAATGTAAAAAAAAATAAAAAAATAGTGCTTATATATTAAGAATTCTTTGCAGTTTCAATGGTGCTGTGTTAAACTTTTCAGGAAATTATAAACACTTGCGATGAACGATGTATAACGTCAAGCATCAATCGGTAGCATTAAAAAGTTAATTATAATTCATACAGTAAACTTGCTAGTAGCAAATTTAATCAAAATATTAAAATGGACATTTAACAATGGTGCAAAACATTAATTGACTTGTGTTTCAGTTAACCCCAAGTGCAAATGTTAACTCAAATAACGACGCAAATATTCAACTACAATTTAAGAACTTCGAAAACCATATTCAAATATAGAAAAATGAGGAAATTCATGGCAACATATATATGGGTGTTGTAAGATGTAAAAAGGTATTGTACAAATACATCTAAACACCAGCCTAAGAAATAATGAAGTTCAATAAAAATATTAAAAAAAAAACAAAACAGATTCACAAACAGTGTAAAGTCAAAAATATCCTACAAATTTACAATTATATACAAAAAAAAATAAAAAAAGTATATCCAAAACCCTATCATACAAAATCTTATTTCGTTTATTAAAAAAATAGTGCATTGTTTGTTTGTTCGTATCACACTGTGTGGGGAAAACAATGCGCGCGGTCTTACTTAATACTGTCCGTGGACGAATATAACATGGAATTAGTCTTAACTTACGTATCATATACACAGAACACTATGTGCATCGCAAAAGCAGTGCATTTATATTTTACGAATGAATTAAGTACAACATCTACTAAAATAAACGATCAATCGTCCTATTAAGTAAATATAGATTTGATAAGTTTCATAAATAGGAATATAGTTTAAAAATCTCCTACTTCTCGTCTCAACAAGGATTCCACAACAACTCTATGTTATCAAGCGGCAACTGAGTCGTACATTTATAATATTATGTTATATAATCACACAGATAAGTGGTCGTACATATATAAGATAGAAAACAGTTGAATAATTCCAATGAATAAGAATACTCTGTCAATAGAAAAATATAAAAAAAGAGGCGTATTTAACCGAATCAAATCAGCAAGATCATAGACGGTAGAGATATGAGTTTTCAGAAAGAAATAGTATACAAATTTATTTTGCTGTCCAACCTGATGATTTTCGGAAAAAGTTTCTAGTAACCACAGTATTAACATTTATATGATAATATGCTATGCGGTTGTAGAAGTGAGTTTTCAATTGTATCATACACTTCTAGGCTGTAAGCCGAAAAAAACTGGAATTATCGAAATAACGCCTAGGCTATGTAAGTAGCCGTCATAATACTTTTTTTGCACAACATTCTACAAAAAGATAAATTGTCATAATTTCCTATTAATCAGCAGTTCTCTGTTGTAGTAAAATGTTTCTGAAATATATGAATAAACTGCGTCTTTGGGTCGTGTCATTAATTTAATGTATGGTATAAATATAGTTACAAAAATAATCTTTTTTTACATTGCGATAGTTTGTAAAATATTATGTGATTTTTTATTAATTTTTAAGTATTCGTTAAGATGACAATGCACGAAAATATTTCTTGATTCTTTGTTTTATTAAAAAATGTAATTAAAAAGTTTGCATGAACAGCTCGCGCTCACATAAACGTGGCATATTTTATTTGGCATAAAATTGAATATGAAAGTTATTAATATCAGAATTATTTCTGATATTGATAACTTACATATTAGTTGTAGTTGAAGTAAATAGTTATGAAGCATTGAAGTAAAGTTATAAAAGTACTTAACAGTTAATAACCACTGTGTAACAGTTGAAGAACTTGGTTTTCGTTAGAATCGTATCGTATAATTAATATTATTAGTAAATTTTTGCTTCTCATATTAGATAGATTACACGATTCGCATGATTTCAAAATTTGTCCTAGTTGCGTCAAATATATCGTCAGATACATCTCTCTTTAGCTCGCTTGACAAAAAGTGACTACCCGAGGGCAATTGTTATATCCCGTGAAGTGACTAAAATGCGGCGCGCGCGAGGAACTGTGAATTTATAAAGAGAAAAGTCCTATGAAAAGCGAACTTAAAAAAAATAGCTTCAAACGATCAAGGTCATACATAAAACGCTAATCAACAGGAACTTATCAAGCAGTAATTCAACAAGGACGGGCCGCAAATGGCTGATCTTCGGAGGAGAAGCAATCGGTTGGGCGTGATTGTAGCTTATGACATTCGTAGCGTCGCGGCTCAATACGACTGGATCGTTTCGTGGCGCTGCTGCGACAATGCTGCTGCACGTGGGTCGATCTAGAGCTGGGCCGGGGTGAGGAAGGGGTTGGTGGAGGCGGGGGCGCGTATCCCGCAGTCGGCCGGCGGGGTGGCTCGCGCCACGCGGCCGAGCCAGGCGTCGGGGTGCGGCAGCCCGCGGGCCGCCACTGGCTCCTCGGCCAGCGCGCGCAGCTCCAGAGACAGCTGCTGGCACATCGCCGCCACGGGGTCCGCGCCCGGCGCCAACTCCTCCGCACTCTCCTGCACATTATTGACATTTTTTTTTTGGATTTTATGGCCCGGCATCAAGGACCTTTAGGCCAAGTATTAATTTAATCGACACTTAATTTGATGTAGACAGCTGACATGCGACTGTAGACAGCTGACATGCGATTATAGACAGTTGGCATGTGACTGTAGACAATAGGACTGTTAATAGAAACTTGGTTTGTATCTTAGAAGATTATAAATTGGCTGGTATGAGAAAGATAGAATACTTATAGAAAAACACGTGGTTTATTTAAATAAATTAATACAAATTTTATCTTATTGTTTATGAACTAGGATAGAAACTCGAACAAAAAGTTGATATTCATAGCCATAATGGTCTAGATCTATAGGGTGATTCGAAGTAATGTATTAAGGTTGCAGATGTTTCGGGTTAAAGAAAATCGGTGAATCGAAGATAGCGTACATGAAAGGTAGTACACTAAAATCATTTAAAGCTGGGGCGGCAATCTCTGCGAAATAAGACTAAAGGTTTATTAAAAAAATGTGTGAAATTTAGAACATGTTTAGTGTACCCAATAACTTATGTTTCGACGTTGATCTATCACGAGTGATCTAACATAATTAGCTTTACGACTGACCGCCCGATATGGATCGACTTGCCACCCCTGAATAAAAATTCCTACAACTGCATCAAGTGCATCACCTTAACCCGTAAAGTTTACAGACAGTCGCATTGTTAGTGAACTTTGCGGGGAATAAAATAAATGTGAATAAATAAAATGAATGTGTTTTACGGAAGGCGCAGTACCTCGAGGGGCGCCACGTCGGGCTTGGGTGCGGCCACGGCAGGAGCGGAGGCGGGGGCGGGCGCGGGCGCGGGCAGCGCAGCGGGCGGCGAGCCCAGCCCGAGGCGTTGCCGCTCCAGGTTGGACGGCAGCTCGCTGATGCGCAGCGACATCTGCCGCTTGAACGGGGAACTGAAACAGACGAAAAAAACTTATACCGCCCGCACGAGTATACGAGTTAAAAACAAGTTTAGAAGGTAAATCGCAATGATTTCAAGTAAAGGTCTATCGTCTTTGCAACGCCTCTTTATTAATATCTTTAAGTTTAAATTAAGTTATTAGTTTTCCACCGCTCCAGATTTGCGCGGATTCATAGGACATCATTATGTCTACAGTTTTTCTTCGCTTGCTCGCCGAATGTCATTAGTTCTCATCTACGCCACAACGTCGAATGATAACGCACATTGCTGGCAAGCATAAAAAAAACTGGCCAAATGCGAGTCGAACTCCCGCACTAAGTACTTTCTCCATACCATTATATATAAAAAACGCCAAAATAGATCGTATTTGTTGGTATTTCTGTTGTATGTCTTTTGCCCCACTTAAATATTTTTCTCATTCTGTTTTTAACCGACTTCAAAAAGGAGGAGGTTTTTCAATTAGACAGTATAAATATTTTTTTATGTGTGTTCGCGGATAATTTCGTCGTTTATAAACCAATTTTGATGATTCTTTTTTTTTGTTGGAAAGGAGATATCCCAAGGGTGGTACCATGATAAGGAAACCCAGCCTGATGATGGCATTCCAGAGAAATCGAGGGCAAGCCTCAAATGTTTTAAGTATTAACAATGTTTTTTAATTTCGGATTGAAGTCGGTTTTTTTTGTTAAAATTTTTATTAGTATTTGTTGTTATAGCGGCAACAGGTATAACTACATCATCTGTAAAACTTTCAACTGTCTAATTATCACGGTTCATGAAATACAGCTCGATGACAGACGGACAGAAAGACCTATTACTAAGACTCCGCCTTAGTAATAGGGTCCCGTTTCCCCCTTTGGGTACGGAACCCCAAGGATGTGTTCGAATACGGACCTGTTGTTCAGATGCGCGAAGCCGCGGAACGAGCCCTGCCGCTCTAGGAGGTGCGGCGCCGCGTGCGGCCGCTCCACCGCGAACGGGTTGTGCGGCCTCCCCGCCCCCACCGCCCCCGCCGCGCCCCCCACACCCACCGCGCCCGCCGCCGCCGCCGCCGCAGAGGGCGCCACGGGCGGCGTGTCCGCTTCGGACGCGCGCCGCGTTATCCCTGCAACGGGCGGAGGTTTTCATAAAATTTTTATTATTGTGACTCTTCGTTCACTGCGGCATAACTGTGGTATATATAGCATAACAAGGCAACAGCCTTTGATGTTGCACGAATGGGCAGGTCGAACAGAAGAGCGGCGTGAAGCGGAATTCGCCGTTTCGTCTGGGGAGTGAGGAAGCCGGAACAACGCATCTGCACCCTACGGGTGTTGCAAATGGCCATGGGCGACGGTCACCACATAAGAGATGCCCCAAACACAATCGAGCGGTCCGCGTCGCTCCCTTAGCAGGCCGTATCTTCCTTCTCGGTCGTGTAACGAGACTGGCCCCGGTCCCCGTCCGTGCGTCGAACGGCGCTCACCCGATTTGCGGAAAGAGCCCTGGCGCGTGAAGGCGTGGCTCGCCGCGTCGATGCTCATAGACACCGCGCACTCCTTGTCCCTGCGCTGTTTGCGCTCCAGGCACGCGGCGAACGCGCAGCCCACCGCGTGCGAGAGCCGCTCGCCGCTGTCGCGCGACGCGAGGAAACCGTGGCACATCCAGCGGCGCGTCGTGCCGTCGCGGCAGATGTAGCTGCGAACGGAACGCGCAATGGAATCACCCCATACACGTGCGCCCGATGCTTTGCTTATACTAAATGCTTTTAAACTTATAGTAAAGTAACAGCCTATACATGTCCCACTTTGTACAGAGAGTATTAGGGCATAGTCACGCGACCCCACTTAAGTTTGACCCTACTTTTTTAATATTTATTTTAGGTTTCCTCACGATGTTTCCTCCTTCACCGCCGAGATCACATATCACATGGATAAGTCAGTGCTTAAAGTTAACGAGTGCATAAATTAAAAACGAGCGCCCGGACAATGCGCTATCGCGGCTGAGTAATTCATACTAAAATAAGAAAATTATATTGTAGTAGCGAAGGCGACATCTCTAATTTTCAAAATTATATGTAATAATGTCGTTTGAGATGACGCCAAACATTGCTAGACGCAATTTTAATCTTAAGTGCAGATACTAGCACTAAAACAAAAAATAAATATTTTCATGCGACCTAGTTTACTCTTACAAAAGGATGGTTAAACTATCAGAATGATCATCTTAATGATCGGAATGAGTTCCCGAAATTTTTAATGTTGGCTTTGTGACCAGTATCCTGGCTTTTCTGATATCAGATCTGGCTCGGATACTGGCCAGGACTGCCGAACTTAGTTGAAGAAAAAGTTGATTTTGTAATAGATGTTAAGCAATGTTGTGTTGATGTATTATGTATTAAATATTTTTCTTAACCTTACAGGACGATGTTATGTCAGCGATAAAGCTCTTTCGTGATAAATAAATAAAAAAAAATAACTGAGGTTGTTCAAGAAGCAAACGTATCAGTGAAATCATAATCTCTGATGTAGGAACACCGCCGTCGGTATTATGACATTTTCAGCATACTTCCTTGATTTCCGTCGGGGCAGTGTGCTGGATAATTACGCTCTGCGTATGTTACGCAAGTACCGAAAGGTAAACAATCTTCTTTTAATAATAGCACAATACCGCGAAACAAATGAAAGCAACGCCACTTAGTCTTAACGCTTTTGTGATACATTTCGTATCTACAGTACGCTGGAGAACGATTGAAAGGTTTTATTTCTTTATGGTTGTACTAGACTTATTACTTTATTTCTTTATTTACTTATACTTATTACTTTATATACTTTATTTCTTAAAAGTTTAAAAGGTGTAAAATATAAAAAAAGACGCAAGTGCAAAGGTTGGGTTGTTTTCAAATATATTGGTCGTCTTTAATTTGTTGTCGATTTAATTTGTTATTATTCTTTTAATAATAACATTTGGAACGAAAAGCAAAATTAAAAGTTAAACTTACGCAATAATTATGTATTATATGTCCAATCAAGGGTCCAAGTGTATCCTTTCTTACTGTTAATTAATAAGACATCAAATAGTTTCTTCAAATTTTCTGTTAGAAAAACGGAACAATAAGATGATGAACAATAGTATAGTAGTCATTTATTTATCTTGGAAGTTTATCTAATTATCTGGAATTTGTCTTAATGAGTACAACGTGCGATGAAACAAGAAACAAAGAGTTTTCCACAACTTCCGAAACAAGTTAGCGCAAACTATTTACTTTTATGAAGTAGTATTTACTGTGGGTTCCATTTTAAGTATAAAAAGAAACTAGTTCGTTCGGGTTTCATTTGTTAATCAAAAATAACATTCAGATAGAATTTCAAAACAAACACAATTGAGATAAAAATGTGCGAGGGCTTTTGTAGACCCGAAACTAAACTTAGCCAATACGTGAAATAATATCTACTCAAATTTATCTAAAATTAATGGTTTAAGACAATATGTATTCGTCCCTAATTTTTTAAAAACTAATCACTTTTTCGTCATCCAATAAAACTTAAGAATCGACACGGAAACCTTAATTTTTATTAATGGATACACATTAAATATCTATCTTACCTTAAAGAGTAAAATAAAATAATTATTACCATTGTTTATAGTAATATACGAGAAAATAAATCTTTAAAAATATATGTTCAAATATGTTTTACATTCACATATTTTTTTACTTTCAAATTTTTATGTGCATAAGTGTGAACAGAAAAATTGATACTTCTTTTCTATATAAGACTCGGTGGTGTAGTTGCTGAGCTATTGGCTTTGGCGAGAGGGGTTATGGGTTCGAATCCCACAAGGGACAACTTTGTGCGACCCACAGATATTTATTCTGGGTGTTTATTTCCAAAAAGGTTTCACGTCACGCGGGCGCTACCGATCGTAAAATACCTAGTCATTTGGATTCAAATGTTGTGCCGACACTGCCTAGAAACAGCAGGAGAAAGAAGAAGTATACTTCTGTTCTTTACGAGTCCTCACCTGAATCCTCGCTCGTGGTTCCTGTCCGGCGCGCAGAAGGAGACCTTCTCAATGGTCTGGTCAACAATGAGCCCTTTGGTCTCTTCCTCCACGACACGCAACCCGTCGCCGCTGACATGAAGTACAGCTCGGATCGGCCGCCGCCTAGAGTTCTGCAATCCAGCACCAAAGCAAATCGTTAACCTGTAACTGCGTAATTTAGAAATACACACACTCTTTTCACAATCTTAAGTTCACTTTTCTACGAATTATACATTTTATCTTAAGTGCATAGCACTGTAAAAAATATTATCAACTAGTTGTCTGGACAGACTTCGTCCTTTTTTTTTAAATTTAAAACCTTCCGTGGACCTTAAGGAACATACAAAAATAAATTAGCCGAATTGGTCCAGCCTTTCTTGAGTAATACGCTTACCAACATTCATTTTTATTTATTAAGATTAAATTTCAATAGCAATGATGTTATCTCTGGTTTTCAAATATTTCACTGTAAAATGTTCTATGAAAAAAGTTGCCGTTTGCTGTTATTGAAACACACTAGATGACGTCAAACATTGCTCAAAAGGTAAAAAAAAGTCTTGAAGGACGCAGGTTCAAATCCGCGTAAAGTAAAGTAACAGCCTATACATGTCCCACTGCTGGGCAAAGGCCTCCTCTGTACAGATTAGCGGACTTCACATATCTTCGAAAAATATTTTTTTCTATTTCGATAATATGCAGGTTTCCTCACGATGTTTTCCTTCACCACGGAGCACGTGATAAGTCGGCACTCAAAGTTAAAAACTTCATTGGTGCCGGCACCGGGGATCGAACTCAGGTTGCTCGAGTATATTGTATTAAAGGCGAGCGCCCGGACACTGAGCTATCACGGCTCTTCTCGTAACAGAGCTCGGCAAATCCGCGTAACAGAGAAAAACTTTTCATCCTTTTTTTCTACAAATTTTAAAATTGACACACTCAAACACAATTTTTAACCGTAGAAGTGTAATGTTTTCTTTAATATTGTCACCTTATAAATGGAATTAATCATATTGTATGTTATTCAACATTCACGTAAAAATTGAACGTGCTGAAATCAGTACAAATTCAACATTTTACATTGCTCTTATGCACGTGAAAAGAAAGTTGATATTTTAGCAGTTTAAACTAACTAAAAATGGTAAACATGGCGCACGCCATGGGAGATAAGAATTCCCGTCAGGGCGAATTTTTTCAGGCAGCATAACTACTTATTCCTTGACAAGGACGCGTTGCTATCTCCTTTTTAAATAAAACACCGCTGACACAAGGCCCCAAAACGTGGACATTTCCGCACGAAAGTTCCACGGGAGCCGTAAGCGCTTTGTAGCACGTAATCATGTGAAATTCCCGAAACCAACGGGAGTCTATCACGAATCACGATGACTAAGGGGCCGTCTATTAATTACGTGATGTTTTTTAGCATTTTTCCCTTCTCCCCCTTGGTGATACGTGGTGAGGTTGGTACCCTCCCCCCAAAATCACGTGTATTCTAGTACCTACAAAGAATATAATTTTTTTTAGAATATTATCGTTGAAAACAGGTTTAGAGTATAACCTATAATTTTATTCTGATTAAGGAACATGATAAAAATGAAACGGCGAGCCAAGGTCACACTACACACTGCTTTTCGGTCTAGAAATTGCGCATTTGACGAAAAAATAAATATATGTGATATCTTACACTCTATCTATCTACGCCCCCTCTACTCCTTTGTGATATTTCGTGATTTTTGTTGGACCTCTCCCCCCTCCCCCCTTTCGACCCTCACGTGATTAATGGACGGCCCCTAACAATAATTAGATTAAAAATTAATTAATTAATAATACGTTTACAACGGACATTTTTAATTCCAATAAAAAATTGTCAACTTTACAAAAAACTAGTAATCACTAACCAAATATGAAAAGGTGTAGTTGTGGGCATATAGAATAGCGGTAAAGTTTTCACTACCTGTAGTACAAAGCGATTAAATAGGAGTTTCGTTTCAAATTCGATGAGTGGTTATGTATGAAGTCGCCCAGAGACGCGGCCAGTGGACGACTTCCCTAGAGAGGCGTATATCTCCTCGATAAGCAAATTTGGTAAGCATAAAAAGCTTGAATTGAGGAATGATGCCTGCTTGTATCATCCATAGTTATAGCTTCAAACCGAAGCAATTATTTATATCTGAAACTCGGATTGGATCGGATCGACTTGGATCCATGACACGGGTTAGCATCACATTAGTGGTGAATTTTTGATACAAAAGATTTTAAACCATTAATCATTTAAGATGTGTGTTAAAAAATGTACGGGTAAAAACGTAAGAGAAGGGTACAAGATTTCGTGACAGCTGCTACTGATTTTTCGCCAAACTAATCCGCAATACTCCTTACAGTGTACGTTTTATAAGCGGAAAACTGTAATGTTGCATTTGCATTTAACACCTATTTTCCTTAACAATGACAGTACAATATTTGCTAATGCACCTAGGTCCTCACCTTAGAAAACGCATTGTTTTTAATTTCACTCGGTTCACCGTCATTAGTTATGAATGTTATAGCCTTTTGTTAAATGTTTAATTAACGAATGCCGATCGGTAAAAGTAATTTGTAATGGTGTTGGGAAATAAAGAGAAAAAATGAAACAAGGGAATGGAAGTTTTAAAAATTTCATATGTAAAATTCATATGTTATTAAACTACTCGCCTCTAATGGTATGGATAATTTATGTATTAATCAAATAGAAGAAAAATTTCAAGTTGAGGCACGAAAGTAATGAAGATAGAAGAGAGAGAGGTGTTAAACCAAACAACTCAATTAAAGTAAACAGAAGCATTAGTTGGAGAGAGCGTCGTTAAACGAACAATAGTGTAATAAAGGCGAAAACAAAGAAATACGATCTTATTGGTCGCACACTTGGCCTCCCTTCAAAAACGGACCCACATTGTTATGAATACGACGATTTAAAACGATTCGTACAGAAATAGCACCGCGTAAAAAGCTCGGCGGCCATTCATTAAGATGTTCCCGGAAGTGAGATTTTAGGGCATCGTGAAACTTCCACTTAAAAATAACAGCGTAGGTATTTTTTGTAATTTGTAAGGGTTCAGAGGATGCAGGAGCGGTAGTAGATTAAATCTCGCGCACTTCCGTTCCGCCAGACTCTTGAGTTTCATTAAATGAGAACGTGCCGAAAAATTATTTTATTTTCACACATAAAAATGCAAATAGACCTTAAGCTTATATTATATCCATGTTATATTGTAAACTGACATTTTTGAAAAAGAGCAACTGTTGAGTTTCTTGCCGGTCTCTTCTCAACAGAAACTGCTTTCCGAACCGGTGGTAACTTACGAACTTATGTATTAAAACTCGACGTTTCATAAGAACGCGCAAGCGTCTAGGTGAATAAAGATATTTTGAATTTGAATTTTCGTATCCGTCTGTTGACCTTTTACATTCTGCCATGGTCATCTTGGGAGGCGCGTGACAATTGTACTTTGCCGTTTGTTTCAATGTTGTGGGTGTAGAGAACAGATAAAGAAATCTTGCGCGTATATTGTCCGTTAGAATGAGATGAAAGGTTATTTGGACGCAAACACTTCAGCCGCTTTATGATCATTACGATCGCAATGACATACTTTATTACAGCATTTAGAGCACGTCCAGTTACGGCTCTAATTGAGGACGGCCGCGAAGAAATATCATGATGCATAAAATTCATATTTTACTTATAATATTTTTAAGTAGTGGCCGAATGACCGCGATTTTGCTTCACATTTTTTTTATTCAAAAGGCTGCAAACTGAACAAATAGACCGGTTCGTAAGTGAGACCAGATATGTTGCAGGCGTCCTGCCAACCGGAATGTGGGTCTTTGGTTGCGACACGATCAACAAGTATTGTTTATATAACACTAAAATCTCGCGGGTCTACCTATGGACTGGTGCCAAGGACGATAAACGGCATGGAATAAATAACTTTGTTTACATTCGCCAGCTACTTCTGCCTGCGCACGCCCCTGATTAAAACACGCAGAACATACGTCATATTCATATACACAGGCAAGTGCAGTGACTGAACGCTCCGAATCGGAACAGCGCCGTCCAGGAACAATTTTTTTTATGTGAAAAGTTGCCAAGCGAGCAGACGGTTCACCTCATGTTAAGTGAATAGTGCCGCCCATGGACATCTGCTACACCCGAGTGTTGAAGATGCGTTGACAACCTTTTGGAAATTGGGCTCCAGCCACCTCACTCACCATACGAAACGCGAAAGTATTATACTTCCACTTTACGCCGGTCTTCTGTGAGGTCGTGGTACTAACCCGGACGAGCCTCCTTAATCGTGCAACAGCCGAGGCTACTGCGTGGCCGACCGAAGTACACTACCGTCTACAACAACTTTTGCCAGCTCATTTAAAAACAGTAGGCTTGCTTCTACTATTTGTCTTTTTTTAATGTGAAAATATGTTAAATGATTACCGCCGCTGATAGGCATATATCTACAACAATGACAAGTCACAGAGGCTTAACAAACCAAAAAAAAAAATGGGCCAGGCTACCTCAGTAACCACTTCACGCTGGTCTTCTGTGGGGCTTTCCCGAACGAGCCCACCCACCCGGACAGCAGCGGAAGCGTGCCACTCTCTATGGTCGGCAACACGCCAGCAGCTCAGCTCTGTTGTTTAGGGTATCGTTCCCCATCCAAGTCTAAATACAGAGATACGGTCGCTCATCCCTCAGCGGGCAACTCACCCGCAGCACCTTGATCGCCTCCTCGCAGACCTGCATGCCGCGCGACTCGAACACCTCCACGCAGCCGAGGTACTTGACGGGGAAGGTGCACGTGCCGGCGCGCACGGCCGCCTCGTCCGCGTGCCACTGGTGGGGGCGCGCGGACTCCGGCGGCGAGCCCTTGCGCCGCCGGAAGGACTCGCGGAAGGAGCGCCTCAGCCGCTCCATGCCGGCGCGGGGCGGGGACAGCGCCGCGCCCGCGCGCGCCCTCCGCAGCGAGCCGCGGACCGACGACTTCTGCGGGCGGAACTGCTGTGTGAACTCGTGTCGTGTCCCTCGAGGAGGTGAACTCTCCGAAAACCCCTCCCCTCATCTTATACATCTACACTTAGGCGCTATTGGCAAATTGACTACGCAATGTTGAACAGGTTTAGAAGTTACTTTCTCTGATTTCTCATTGCTCTGCAGCGACCCATCCTTTTACTGTCAATATTCCATGACCACGAGAGGTTCGACAACTCTTTTGTGATGTTAGTCATCGACTAAACACTTTCTCTACACTACCCTAAGGTTGACTGATAGAAAATGCCATTGGCATTATAGCGTGAAGCAAAAGAGTGTAAGAGTTTGACAGCGTCTGTTTTCCAATACGATTATTAATGTGTCTTCAAGGCATGAGTGAATAGTTTGTGGTATTTGTTTAAAAAATATATCAAAAGTGTGTATTTAGTTAGAAGGTTAAGGAAAGGGTATTTGTCGTGAATCAATCTGAAATATTTGACATTTCCCATGCAACTTATACGTATCATTAGACGTTTGAAGATTACAATTTTTAAACGTATATTACTTTTGTTAAAACCACCAGCTCGTATGCCACTTCCTCACATAAAAGAAAAGGAATAAGTATTTGTTGAACTTATATATGACTTTTCCCAGATCTAAGCTTTAAATCGTGTTTCTAAAACATTGTGTGCGGTTGTGTTTATTAATCAGCTAGGTAGGTATTGTACGTTAATGTAGTCGCCTCAAATGAATGGTGGCTGGTAACTTCATTGCCTAACTGACCTTCATGACACCCACGGTTAGAGGTTGATAGTTAGAATATAATAAACGGACGTGTTTCCATGTAATAAACTTATAGGTGTATATTTCAACAGCTATCATTGAAATAGTACCCATATTTCATGTAATAATTAAATAATTTCCATTAGCCTGAACGTAAAAACTCATTTACATATTGTATGGATTATCTAGAGTCTAGACGAATTTTCAAAATACACTCCTAATAACGCGGTAGAAGAGCGCTCGTGACGCAAAATGTAATGATAATTTTACTAGTTATTAAAAGTTGAAGTTCAGTTATCATAATAATATGCTCGTCTAAAAGCACATAAATTGCTAAGGTGTCATTTTGTTAAATATTTTATCACAAAACAAAGACTTAATGTTTCATAGAATCGTCTTGAAAAGCTTTGAAATAAATAGTATTTTGCACAAACAATATACTATTAATATATAATAGGGATAATATTTTTTCTCAACTAATTGTAACTAAAATTCTTCCTGGAAATTCCCTTATTATTAAATGAAATAGGACCTCCTATAATGTACCATACACAGGTGTCTAACAAGTTTTCCTTCACAACTTTTGTTTTATTCGCAAGGACAGTTCCCTTTGTCGTAAGTACTCATTTGAATGTTATAAATTCATTACATATATGCACATTTGTTCATCTCTTTTTTTTTATTTTAACAAAGAATCATATAAAATACATATTTTACAACATGTTTTTACGTAGCAAATACTATTACCTGATTATTCAATAATAATCAACGTTGAAGAAAATTATATTAGCAAATTTAAAAACAAAGAGTATTATTTTTATTAAATAAACCTAAAAATTGGCTTACTTTCAGTACCCAGAGTTTAAAGCAGTCTCGAGATAACAATAAAACTTTTTAATGTCGCCATTAGCAAGAAAAGAAGTTAAAGTAAAATTTAGGGCTGGGTGATAAGATAAATATATGATGTACCACAGCTAAACTAATAAGATAAAATGTCTTATTTGCCTTCCTTTAAAATATTTTATGACTGTTATACTTCATAAGTCTATAAAGTTTCTGCAGTCATTTAAAAATAGTAAAATAACTAAATTCAGTTATCCTGTAATTATTTATTAGATTAACGCGGAGACCACGCAACATATGTAATTACCATGGATATCGTAAATTGTACGAAACGTTTGGAGTCTAAAAACAAATTAAGCGCGACAAAACATCTAAAACATTATTTTGGTGCATTAATTCTGTAGGCATTTAAAACACAACTGCCTCGACGAATTCCCTAAGATTACGCCTTGCATGTCTATACTATTTTCTATGGCTTCCATGTAAATAAACAGCGTAACGATTGTAAGGAAGCCGATTTGAAACGTGATCGATCATACGTATTTGTTGTATGCGGTGGGTCTGGGTTTTGTTACGTGTCATTATGATTGTGTGAATTGTTTATCCGTTCACACCACTCGGGCGTGAGGAAAATCAATGCATAGTTTAACGAGTGACCGTATTGATACCGTCAACTGTCATATCTGCAATCGACGCGTGTTACATGTAAAATACCTCTTACTGTCCATTAAGATTATTTTTTCATTTTTTTTTAGAGATTCATCATAGACATCCCACCATAGAGATCTCAGACATCCCATTAAGAATATTTTTTTTAAAGATACCATACATCCGTAGAACAAATTAAACAAGGAAACACTCTAATATGGATAAATCTGTAGGTCATACAAATTCTTGTTCCTGGTGAGAAACAAATCTACGTTGCAGACATTAAAGGCACTTACGTAGTTCTTAAAACGATCCATACATGAGAATAAAGGCCCATTTAACGCCATTTTCCATACATTGAGCAATAAATAAAGGACGATGAATTTAATTTTAAAGCAAAAAATACTGAAAATTTAAAGAAAAAATACTGTTTACATTATTTTCGATAGCTGTCCTCACACACAGAGATTTCAATTAGACTTAAGGAACGTCACAAGCCAGACTTTGTTTCTTAATCTTAATCCTGTTAAATCATTTGCTTGATATAGTAACGGAACTATTTGGAACAAATTTTACCACAAACGTTAACGAAACCACGAGTGTTTATTTAAATTAGCCAACTTATAGTAGTAAAGCTGTTGGCGGGTAGTGTACCTCGTATACTTATATAATAAACATTCGTATTGTAGAAGATAAAAAAAATACTTTTCCACCCATGCAAAGCAACGCCAGATGCAATTGAGTAGTTTTTCTCTCTTCCCTTGTAACAAACCGTAGCTGTGGGTACAAAAACTCGTAGGGATCAAACGCCACAGATGCTGAGTGGCTAGCTTGCGAAAATACGACATACATGTTTTGCAATCCCATTGCCACACTCCCTTTTTTGAAATACACTACAGACGGAACCAAACTCTTATATTATATATAAATGACAGCGAGTATCAGTTTTTTGTCGCAGGAAGAGATTGTTGCGAGAAACAATAATTATGAGGGAGAATTCTATACAAGTGTCGTAAGAATTAAAATACGTAAGGGTTGCGTTGCTAGGTTATATTGATATAAAAGAAATTATATTATTATATTATACAGCGAAAATATTAATATATAAAGCGATTTGATAAGAAATTGAAAACCTTACGTTTTAAACTTCTTATCAAAAATAAACCGAACATTAAATATGTGCATATAATTTTTGCTCATTTTATTATCCCAGTATAAATAATTTATATGACTTCAAACAAAAAAACTGTTTTATTAGTTTAATATTGAAATTGGCTCTCCGTTGCTAACGACATGGTGCAAGTAGTTAACATTCATGATTTACAAAAAAATATTTTATTTCTATTATCTAAGGGGACGGAAAGAGAGATCCATTCGAAGGAGCGGCCATGTGCCAGTTTAAAACAATCAGTTATAACCGCACATGGCCGATGAATCAATGCGTGATGAACAATCGATTATGAATTAGCAAGAATAATTAAATGGGTCTAACCATTTTGAGGTCGGCGTTTTGAGCCTGAGCTCTGTCCAGGGGCTCGTGGGGCGATGATCCCTGATTCCCCATGGCGACTATGTGGCTATGACGTCACTACACGAAATCACTATAACTTGCTAGCGAGCAACATTATTATACACCAATGGCGGAAACTTAATTCAAACGGTCACTTCACGGTATTTTTTTCATCACGCAAAAAACATCGCCTACAGCTGTTGCCTCTTGGGACGAACACACACTATCCGTAACACAATAAGATAATAATTTCGACGAAGTTGAAGCTCGTTAAACATGGCAAAGCTCAGAACAAACAATATCTCTGGTCTCTAGAATGTCGCAGCCTTGGAGACTTGCGCATAAAAACTAATATGTAACACTTTTATCTCGCATATCAGTCTATTTGATTATATTCAAAATTGCTCGGGCCGCGATTTCCTCACGTGAAAATGGGGGGGACGGTTGCGAATGCGAATTGCGATAAATTTGGAAAGGCGACTTTTATCGTGAATTTATCTCGCGCGCGAATCCCTCAATCGTTACTCGAGATGCGGTAGTCGCGTACGATCCGTGTGAATTGGTTAACAATAATTTTTAAAACCCAGGGGGGGTCAACTTTTCCCACAAACGATGAATAAACGCGTAGAGGCGCATTGAACCCGGCACCCGGCCCGCGGGGGGAGAGGTAGGTAGGTAGCTGGGAACGACCGCCGATGCCAGCTGAACGTTATTTTTTCCCACAGCATTGTTCTCCGGAGCGTGGCGTGTAACGATCACAGAACTGAACACTTTTCGGCCGATCAGAGCGTTCGTTGTGTCGGCTTGAGGATATTCGTGTCGCTGGACGACATTGTGGGCGGATGGCGAGAGGAGAATATTCCGAAAATCGAACGGAGGCGCGCGCGCCGCGCCCGGAGCGAACTTCGCCGTCGTACTGACTGCGGCGTGCGGCGTGCGTGGATCGCGCGAACCCTGCTAAGCGGAGTGCCCGTTTGCCCCCCCGTGCCCCGCACCTCGACGACCGGTCCTTTGCATTGTCAAGATTGACGACCAGTGAGATCATCGCACGAGTCGCCAGGCCTTTTAATTCGAATCCGATGGCACTGCACCTATCCGATGACTGAATCATTAGTAGCACGAAACGTTCGTTACGTAGTCGACCATTGTTTATTATATTCGCGACAAACTTGCGCTATACGAATATGTCATCGGCAAGGAAAATAACGACCGTAATAGTGTTGGAGCTTCGATACAAAATCGTCCTAAAAGTCATGGAGAGCTTAATGCTGGCATACGTGAAGCGAACACGTTTGAACTTTGATGTAACAGCTGGTGCGGCGCGTGCGAGTGGGAAGGACGCAGGTGGCGGCCAGAAGTTTATTATTGGCAGCAAAACATATGTCGCCGACGAATTCGAGAGGAGACGTGCTATTTATGGCGGGACCATGTTCATGGCGTAATGTATAAACATTACAGCAAATTCTTGCCGATTAGGGTAGGAGCTGCAGACAACATATTTGCAAACACGTAAACTTTTACAACACAGATCAACGCGACTTAAAGTTTTGCATTCGCTTCTAATTTTACGACCAATGGCCAAGTTTTGCCAGGTGTCGGGGGTTTCAAGAAAAGCTTTAACTGTTGCGCCTGTTAGTCATAATAGTCAGTGGCTTTGTAAGAATTGTAATTGGAATTGTAGTTGTAAACTAGGTTCTACTACTGGTACTTCACTTCATACGATTAGAAGTACTTTCCGGAAATATATCTTAGATACTTTTACTTTACATTTGATAGTAGCAATAATTTTTGAATGACTTTAATATAAAAGAATTCGAAAACAATTTTGAAACAGTTATCTAATTTATTTGAAAGTAGGTTTAAGTTGCACGTTATCCGTTTGGTCTTTTTTCAGTTCCCGGTTGAGTCACGTATTGAGTCACCTAAGACACGAACACGAATTCCAGCATCTTGCTAGAGTGCAAGCGATGACTCGGTATATTTTCACTTGCGCTTACTTTAACACCATTTATGGAATTGCATAAAGTTGAGTCACGAAATTTATAATTATTAATAAAAAGTTACAAGTACACTCCCATGAAAAAGAGATTTCTGTCAAGTCTTACCATAAAATCAATCTACCAGTACCAGGTTTTAATTTAAGAAATAGCTGACTTAATAAGCTTTCATCTTAAACTTGAATCACGTAAACGTTACTTAAAGTGCCTATGATATGAAAGGCTGACTTTTTGCCGACAAAATTAAATCTTTGTTATCCAAGCTGATAAAACTATGGCTTTGATATCATCATCTTGTCATCTACTATTTTATACGGTATACACATTGCTATATATTAAATCGAAAACTGTTATAATACCGTGTAAATCGACATTGTGCCATAGTTATGTGTTTCAATTCATACACAAAATGTAGGACAATGGAGCAGTTTATAAAAATGTATGCTTGCACATTCAGCATTGCGCAGTCAAAGTTTGCTGTAACGCAAAACAGTCGAGTTTGAATTTCTTAACATAATACCATTTTAATTAGAAACGCTTTCATGAAACACATGGGAAGAACTATTATCATTGTATTTAAGTTAGATTGTTATATTTGTTCGTGCTTATAATATATAAGTTCGTTCAAAAGCTTAAGCGCCAAAATGACATAGAAAATGTGCAATAAAAAAAATTACCACAGATGAAGAAATTAAGGGTGTTATAATTATAATAGTTTAATTATGAAGTCAATACTTAGTTAATACAATATTCACGTAAATGTTCATTAAACCAATATGAGCAGTGTAATATGCTTGGCCTAAGTTACGATAAAAAATCCTACTGAGCAGTGAGTGTTTAGTGCTTATTTGATCTGACGCTACAGTTTTCTTTGGTAGGTATTTAAAAAGCGTTTCGACAATCCAATATGGCACCGGGAACCGTTAGCCAAAGCTACAAACAAAGCAGCCGAATGAGGACAGTGACACTGTCACGCTACGCAGCCAATCTAGCGACCGTAAAATTGCCGCTTCTGCACTCCCATTGTCTGTTATGCAACGTTTCCGCTAAATGTTCAATTCTATTCAACGAAACCACAGTTACGTATCGCCAGGTGATACCTTTTTATTTCAAAGGGTTGTCAACTGAGCGAGCAGTTTACCTGATGGTCAGGCCTCGATCTAACCAGATGAAATGCAAACAGTCGGGCGGTCTTTTGTACACCCCTGGGTTTTACCTGGTCGACAATGATCTATTTGCGTATCAGAAATTGATATAAGCTGTGGTCACTTGCCACAGAAGCAGCTTTATTAAAACGAGATTCAACTGTGTTAGGGCCACGCAACAGTGAACACTGTTGCACTAATGGGCAGGTCCGTCCGGGTTAATACCACGACCTCCCAGAAAACTGGCTTAAAATAGAAGTTACCGTCTGCGTTTCGTCTGGTGAGTGAGGTAAGCGGGGCCCACTTTATTTAAAGGTATGATGATGTATTTCTGTTGCCCCTTTAACTACAATTACTAAAAAATAGATATAGTTTTCACAACTTTTTAAACAGATATATTTAGAGCCGTGATAGCTCAGTGTCCGGGCGCTCGCCTTTAATTCAATATCCTCGAGCAACCTGAGTTCGATCCCCGGTGCCGGCACCAATGAAGTTTTTAACTTTAAGTGCTGACTTATCACGTGCTCCGCGGTGAAGGAAAACATCGTGAGGAAACCTGCATATTTTCGAAATAATACCAAAAAAATATATATTTCGAAAATATGTGAAGTCCGCCAATCCGCAGTGGGGCCGCCTGGTGGACTATGCCCTGATACCCCCTCTGTATAGAGGAGGCCTTTGCCCAGCAGTGGGACATGTATAGGTTGTTACTTTACTTTAGATATATTTAAGTGGGGCTCCCATACAACAGACATTATTTTTCTGCAGTTTTGATAGATAACGTTACGGAACCCTTCGTGCGCGAGGCCGACTCGCACTTGAAGTTTTAAAGATGGTGACGAATGAGGCGGCGGGTCAGCCGAAGGCGAGTGATTGACGTCACCTTTGGATACCTACAACTTTTGTGGGGCTAGTTTTGTTATCAGTCATTAAAACCGGGCTCCGGTTACAGCATTTAACGCATAGGAAACTCAAAAGTAAAAATAGTTCCACCAACACTGTGAGGCCATAGAGGTGAAGAGACCTCCCTGTACGAGGTCGCAACAAAAAATGCGTTTGCGTGAAATTCGTTTCATAATAGTTGACTGAACTTCATGTATAATAATTATTCGCATAGTACCTGCAGTCACTTGCATATGTCACAATTCTAGACTAGTATTTCGCTTTCGAGAAAGAACTTGAGACTTGTCTTTAAGAAGACTAAAACTAAGACGTAAATTTAAATAATTAATTTTAATTTTTGTATCTCTAAATTTAAAATAGACCACTAAACAATTCAGAATGTTACTTTTATCCCATACATTAAAATATTGTGATATCGTGTATGCAAATACATGAAATAATTAAGCGTCCCCGCAATATTGGATTGCATACCACCGTACGTTGGTCTATTACAAATTTCATACTTGAAATATACATGAACGTATGAAATAGATTGTAGAGGTCACACTCAAGGGCGGATCCAGCTTTGGTGCCAGGGGGGGGGTCACATAGCCGTGGTCAAGTGATAAGAAGTTATAATTTATTTTATAATCACAGATAGAAGTAAAAAGTAGGTATTTATTTTTAACCGACTTCAAAAAAAAGGAGGAGACAATTCGGATGTTTATATTTTTTTATGTGGGTATGTTCGGGCATAACTTCGTCATATATGACGGATTTGCAAAATTCTGTTCTGCTCATACATAGCGTTGATTTTTATTATCATATATTATACAGGTTGGCTTTTATAAAGGTGCCCAAATTCACACCGGAGGTTCAGGCTCGGTGATAATCGTTTATAGAAATAAAAACAAACTTTTTTTTAAAAAAAAATTGGCATTTTCCTTAAAACAACAACAAACTTCTTGACAATGCGGTAGTCATTCATAAATGCGTCTACTTTTGAAACGAAATTGTGTGCGTGTTAGTTATGGATGATCGAGCGTAAAATAAATGAGTTGCCCATAAATCACGCACTTTCTGAGATAAGTTCAAATGAATGTAATTAATTATGAGCAATTTTAAATATTTATCATTTTTATATAACTTTATTTATGTTTAATAATATACAGCGTGTCGTTACCATCGCGACAATAAATGAACACACATATAGGGGATAACTTTTTAAAGTTGTATTAAACATTTAAATTCTTTAATCATCAATATTTACAGAGTTATTAAATTTTCCAAAACAAAGAATTTTAGAACACCCTTACCTATAAAAGCGTAACGTAAAGTTCATTTGTAAAGGTCACAAAGCATATGAATGGGTTGAATGAATTTAAAAGAGACAAAACATACTGTTAGAAGGAGAGGCTTGTAATACGACGCTGTGGCGCGAGTTGTATAGGATGTTACAAATTTTGTTTCTTTTTTACTTAATTAGTTTGTTTGAAAAAAAGTATTTTTTAATTATGGATTTTGTTTAACGTTAACATTTTTTTATGATTATTGGCAAGTAGCGTTAGACGTGTGTTCATTTATTGTCGCGATGGTAACGACACGCTGTATAATCAACCCAAATGAAAACTCCTAAATAGCCGTACACAAAATAAAATTACATCGTCCACATTAAAAATGTTCATAAATAACAAAAAAATATTTATTCAGTCATTTATTCATTCATAATATTCAGCGCTTCTAATCCATCTAATCAAAGACAAAATCCACATTCATAACAAACGGAAAGAACAATCTATATTTCCCAAAGGTTCCCAATAAGTCTCGCATACTCACGTCCACCAAACCACCACATCTCACCACCCATCAAAAACGGTCCACCCACTAAGACGAATCAAACTCGACGCAGTTTTGTTATTTAATTACTGAGTTCCTATGGCCACATGCCAGCTCTGTCATCAGACCCTGGTTTCCATGTAGCACCAAAGAACTCGTCATGACGAATCAAACGAGCCGAGACGCAATAGGGTTGCGTCGTTTCTTTACTGACTCCATATGACTATCTTCCAGCTCCATCATCAGATCTGACCCTGGTAACCATCTAAAAATTAAGAACTCGCCAAGACGAATCAAACGAACCGAATCTCGATGGGGTTGAGTCGTTTCATTACAGAGTAGTCATAGGAACGTCACAGAATAGCCTCATAGATCGGCGTAAAGTACTTCTGCGATTTGTCTGGTGAGTACCTCACTCAAGAGATGCATTTTGCTCCGGCTCTGGCTACCAAGCCGGAGCCCACTTTATTATAAGGAGAAAACGCATCTGCAACCCTATGCATATGTCCATGGACGGGTGAAGATGGAGCTCTATCATCAGATCGTGGTTACCAATGAAAGACAAACTACTCATTAATA